AGTATAGTAAGTAGTTTCCCAGGTGCAATGGTCGGGGAAGACATGAGCTTTAACATGGCTGGAGGAGCCACCTGAAGGATGGATGGAGATGGCTTTCAGAGTGCCACCACCCTGTCCACCCTTTCAGGTTGTATACACAATTGGGAGACCCCTGATCACACCTCAGCCACTGTACAGACTCCTGGCCCTTGGCTCACATGGCGCTCCCTTAGAAGGTCATATGCTACCCGAGACCACAGCGGGGGCTCCCGGTGCCAAACAAGACGTGATTCAGACCCGGCAGGCCATACCGCAGCTTCAGTCTTTACTGAGAGTCTGGTAGGACAAGTTACAGCCAGCAGGTGGTGGGCAGTACCCCAAACCCACCGGGAGCTTCTTTCTTACCTGTGTTCGAAAACCTCAGCAACAATGTGTGCGCTCAGCAATTTCAGGGCCAGCTAAGCAGCAGGAGAACCTAGGTCCTTTCTGGACAGGGGCCACCCTCACGGTAAAGCAGTGAAGCTGGGGACATGTCTGCGCTTCTCTAGGGACAACTCAAAAAGTGCCAGTCTCATGCAGGGCGCTTCTGATTTCCACTGGGATGTGGGGTGACACAGAAGATTGGGAATGCATTCTTTCACTTACTCCTTCAACGAGCCTACTCTTCACCGAGCTGTGAGGGCAAGGAGAGCGGCTGACGCCATACCTCACTGTGTGGAGCTGGCTAAGCCAGCGCAGGGGCAGCCTCTCAGCCAGAGGCCTGGGGACACTCAGCAGACACCCTGCTCTGGAGTCAATGCCTCCTTTTCTCCACGTAGCCTTGGCAGTCACCTGCCCACACGCCCCAAGCGCTGTTCCAGGCCAGATACGTGGGCATGGCTTCCTGCAGGACTCCATTCTCTTTCCACCGATGAAAGGGGAGGTGGGGTACACTGTGCACACCATGTGCACATCGGCTGGTATTTTCTAAAGTGTGTTTCAGGGAGAGGCTCTGGTAGGGCGTGTGTGTTTTTTCCTAGGAGCCAGGGGTTGGTTTCTCATGTTAAGAGAGTCAACCATTTCAATAATATTTTCACCTGCGCCTTGGGAGTGGAAAATTCAAGGCTAGCCAGAGTGCTTAGAGACCATACCGACAGAGCTCTGCTAGGATGCCCTCACATTCCTGAGATGCACAGGCCCCCTCCTTCTGGGCAGAGCCAAAGCTCAGCTCTTCCTGTCTACAGCTTACTTGCAAGAAGCCCCAGGCTAGAGGGATCTTCAGGGACGGCTGCCTCTCCTCTCTCACCTGTCACCAGACATTGCCACCAAGGCGAGGGGGCCGTTCTGAGTGGGTACAGGGAGTCAGCCATTAGAGTGTGGGATGCTGAGGCAGTGGGCTGGTGGCTGTGGGAAGTGGGGTCCTGGAGATGGCGGTGATGGTGGGCAGTGGTCGACACCAGGAGGATGAGAACGCAGACTATGAGGCTGGTGATGGCGGCCGTGTTCAAGAGGGCGGGGATGCCAACCTGGGCTGAAAGCGGCCGTGCGTGAGAGGCAGCCTTGAGAGTGCCTGTGCTAGCACCGATGGTGGGGCGCTAAAGGTGACTCACATTGGATACGGCAGAGGGTCTGGTTAGGAAGATGGTGTTTTAACTGCAGACCAAGATGGCTCAGACATCCCCAAGCGGATAGGGTGATTTCAGAGATGTCGGGGCTGGTGAGAAGCGTGGGCGTCTTCACCACAGCTCACCCGTGGCTGTGCACAAGGGATCGGCTCAGGGTCAGACCCTGGGGACATGGAGACTGGCACTCAGGCTTTGCCATCCACTGACACCTTTCCTGCACTCGTTTCTGGGGGTGGAGAGAGGACCTTTGCGAGTCCTGTTTAGAGGGTCTGAGGCTGGGTGGCCAACCTCAGGGCAGAGGCGTAAACCCCTCCACACTGCCCCTAGCTGCCAGCCCTGCCCAGCGCAGGTCTTCTACAACTAAGCAAGTCACGCCAGAATTCCTTCTGGCCCTGGGTCTTGAGTGTTAACTGTGGGTGAGCCTGAAGTGGCCTAGAGAGGATTGAGACCATCACAAGTCAGATGTCCCCCAGGGGGAAACTGGCCAGAGGTCGAGTGCTCGTGGCCACATAACGCTCTGTGAAGGAACAGAAGCGAGGGTCCCCACTCGGTTCTGGGGGGCCAGTAGCTCTGCGGATGCCTGAATACCCAACTCTGCCAACGTACCAACAGGTCGGGCCATGAGCCTCAGGGGCGCGCCGCGCTCCAATGGCCTGGCTGTCGCCTAGGTGCCCTGGCGGGGCGGCTGCTCGCCCCGCCCTGCCCACGCCTCTCCAGCCAGCCGCTGTCCGGCCTTGGCGGCGGGAGGGAGGAAGCGCTGTCCTCATTCCACCTCTGGCTGCCGCGGTGCCAAGTTGCTGGCCGCAGCGGCAGCGGGAGTTGGGGCGGAGGGCAGCGGCGCCCTCCCCGGAGCCCCCTCGAACTCGGGGTTACTCACGTAGAGTCCGGAGTGCTCGGCGCCGAAGAACGGGAAGGGTACCGAGACGGGCTGCAGCCCTGAGCCGCCGTCGTCCTGCTTCGGGGTGACGGCGTCGCCGCGCTTCGTGCCGAATGGGTAGAAGTCGGCGAGGGCCACCGCAGCGCGCACCCCGCGCGCCCCGAGCCCCAGGGCTGCGGCCAGCAGCAGCGCCCATGCGGCGCCACGGCGCATCGCCGGGATCTGAGGGCGGACCGCCGGACTCGGGCAGGTGGCCGCAGTCACCGCACGGCCGATTGGCCGCACCGTCCCCTCTCGCTATCACGGTCCGCGCCGCACTCGGGGCGCAGCGGCGCTTAGCAAGGCGCGAGGCAGGACCGCGGACCGCTGGCCCACCTCCGAGACCCGGGTTTAAATAATCAGCCCAGGCGGCCACCCGGGAGGGGCGGGGATAGGCGGGGTCATGCAAATAGTGTCATTTTTAGCTTGCTGGTCTTCTGGGCGGGAGGGAGCCGGAGCGAGCCCCTGTCTCTAGGCGCTTAAAGCTGGGCTAGTACTGGTTTGACTCCACCTCCAGCCCCGTGACCCCCGCGCTCTGGAGCTCCCTTGCGGTTGGGCTTTCGTGAGGTGAGGACTTGTATTCTCCAGGCACCAGCTTGGGGCCTGCCCACGAGGGGTGCCTAGCAGTTCTGAGGCTCACTAGTTAGTTGCCCTAGGTCTGATTTTGGACAGGCTTCCTGTGTGTCCTCTGGGGCCCCTGCCTGGCCAGAGCATCTTTCCCTGATAGAATGTGTTGGGTTCTGTGCCTGCTAGGAAGCCACTCTCCTCTCATTGGCTTTCTCACAGGGAGATGCCGGTGGCAGCCCCAATTCCACCGGTGGAGGCTTAGGGAGATACAGATTTGCCTTAGTGCGACACTAAGAAGAGCTCATCACTACTCAGCCCTGTTCTCTCCAACCACACAGCCTTGCTTTTACCCTGAGTGCCCGGCGCCCGTCCCCCCCGCCCCTCCCCCTTCCCCTCCCGTTCCCACCTCAGCACTTCTAACCCCGCCTCCCCCCGGGCATGTGCCTCGGAAGTTCCTAGTAAAGCCCCACATCTGGGTTTGTGTTTGGATCTGCTTGGGAACTTCTGTCAGGTCCACGGTGGTGGTGCTCAGCAGATCGTTGATGGAAGGCTGCCTTTCCAGTTGTGTGAGGCAGTGGGCAGCAGGACATGGGGTCTGGACTGCATCCCTCTGGAGTCCCCTGATCAATTGTGGGGTACCAGGGCACAGGAGTATCTCAGAGCTGGGCCTGTGGGTAGGCAGGGATGCAGGCTGGGGCCTCTGATCTCCAATCAGGAGAGGTGGCACTGACATCTATGACCACCTCAGTGCCCTGCCCTGTGCAGATTTTCAGGGAGGCCTGGAAGGCAGGGTTTGGGGGTAGCGTGGGATGGGAGGCTAACACAGATCTCACAGATCTCCCTGTTGTTGCTGGGCATTGCACACACACACACACACACACACACACACACACACACAGAGGCAAAAAGAGAGGGGGGAAACAGCTTTTTTTTTTCTTCAGGTGCTAAAAATATTATCAGGAAATACTTTTCAGCAATGTGCTGTTTTAGGTCCCCCTCTGGACTCAAGGGCGCCTTTGTCTCTACCACAGAAAATCCACATCTATCACAACCCAAATCGTTTTTATCAAGCAGGCTCATGTTCTGCAGCAGGAAACTTGAGCTCCCCAAGAGGCCTGTGACACTTTAATTTAAGGCCCGGCTGTGTGCGCCTGTTTTGGTGGGGGAGCCCCAGAGCCACCCACCAGATGTTCAGGCCTTAGGAATCCGTGAAGGTCAAGATGGGGGACACTATCCCTGTTCTGCCTGGTAGGGGGACTGGGCTAGTCAGCTGGTCCCACGAAGCAGGCCAGAGGCTGCAGCCCACCCCCGCCTTTTCCTCCTTCCTTTGGATAGAGCTAGAGAAACACATGTTCCCCTGCACCAGCTCTTCCCACCATGCGGTACGGCCAGGAAAGTCCCCACCACTATGGCCCTTTACCATTCCGGGACAGAGTCCAGGGCAGGAGAAGCTCCTAGCGCACCCATAAGTGGGACTCGATGGTTCACCTAGACAGAGGGCTGCCACACCTGCACAGCATCTGCCCACGAGGCCTGCCAACCTCAGCACCATGACGTGACCTTTGCTATTGATCTGGGGGGGCAATTAGCTGGAACTCAGCATGTGCTCCCAAAATGGCTACAACTTGCTTTGCGTGGAGCAAATAGGGTCAGGAAAGGCCAATGCAGTGGGATTCAGGCTGCGCTTTCCCACCTACTTCAGTGGGTAGTGATGCAGGAGTTGGCCTATGGAAAACCCTGAGTCCACTTGAGGTACAGGGTGGCCAGGAACATAGGCATGTGTGGACCTGGGCTCCACCAGGTACCTTGGGCTAGGGTGGGGGGATGGGGGGTAGATCTCCTGCAGGGACAACTCTATTTCCTGTTTTCCTGAAAACCCGAGGCAGCTGACATAGGATGGGCTTGTAGACCTGGAGAAACCACAGCCGATAAAGTCATGCCGCTGGGATATTTTTAAAGGCATCGGGAAAACTCTGATGACACCATGCCAAGCAAAACATTTGGGAAACAGCATTCAGAGTAGCATGCCCATTACAGCCATCCTAAATGTGTGTTCTGGAGAAAGGAAGTGCTCAAGTTTCTCCTCTGCAGCAGTGGGGTTCAGATTATGTGTGCTGGTGTGATCTTTACATGCCTCCTGCGAGGTTTTATTTTCTTGTATAACAATCTTGCAGTCAGGCACGGATCACATATTCCAGATGGTCTCCAAAGAGTGGGTCACCCAGGAATACTGTGGTGATCGTGGTTTGTGTCATGAATTCTGTGATGCTCTGCAGTGACAAAGTTGCCCAGTGACATTTCTCAGATGCATCTCCATTGTTAAAAGACACAGGATGTATTTTTAAAATATTAACGTTTTAGACATCTCAAATAAGCAGTGCATGTCGGTTGCATCCTGCTCCAGCAGAGTCAAGAGGAAGGAACCTTTGCCCCCTGCTCCAGGTCTGATGCTGGCCAGTCTCTTGAGGTGACATCCCAGCTCTTAGTCTGGCCTTCTCTCCAAATTCTCCCTGGGCTCAAGCCCTTCTGTTCTGTTTGTTTTCTACTTACAGTGACCTGAGAAACTGGTAAGGCTGGTGGCTCCAAATTGGGGCATCCAAGGGCGTGGCCAGAGCCCCTTGGTCAGAGGGAATGTTAGCACCCTCAGTATAGGTTGCAGGATGGCATGTGTCTGTCAGATTTTGTGTTCTGTCTCCAGTAAGAACTGGGCCAATGCCTGATTCTGGGCCCTCTGTGCGTGTGTGTGTATCTGTTTGTCTGTCTGTCTCCTAGTGTTCAGAACCCTGGGAGATATCTCTTCTGTGTTTTGTGCTCCCCAACCCCTGAAGTGGATAGGTGGGCAGAGGCTCATCTTTATGATGCCAGCCGAGGAGCTACACATGGGGTCCAGGGTCCAGCCCTGAGACTCCATGTGGCAGGACTTGGCCTGAGGGCTGCTTTTTCGTTCCCATAGACACACTCAGAGAGCCTGTTCAGATTGCTTGGGTGAGGCGCAGAGCTGAGACACCCATCTGAGGCTAAGACCTCCCAAATGGATGCTGGGATCCATCGGACTTGGTACAGGCCAGGAACCAAATGTGGGCCAGTCCAAAAAGAGAAACCGCCCGCCTTTCTTTGGAGGTGGGGCTAGGCAGTTCCAGCAGTGAGGTATCAGAGCCCTTTCCTCTCAAACTTCGGGGAGGACAAGAGCCAGAAGGCCCCCATCACCTGCATAACCTGAATTGTTCACCCCAGCTGCCTCCTTTGTTGGCCTCACCTTTGCCGAAGGCTGGATGTAGTTTGCATCCCTGTGCCTACTGTTCCATTGGGCAGGTGGGTTGGGGCAAGGCCCGAATGGAGTGAGCTGTGGGGTCCTGGATTTGACACACTGGCTGCCAATAGTCAGTTACCCATCTGATCTTGGCCCAGCTGCAAGGAAGTTTTCATCACCCACGAAAGGTGATCTCAGAGCACGGCCATGAAGGTCTTCTGCAGTCGCTACTCTGCCCAGGGCAGCAATCACCAGACTCTGACACACACCAGTGTGCACATGTCTTAGAAAATGTTTAGAGAAATGCAATATATATATATCTTAAGAAAACATCTTTTCCCCATTACTTTCCTTTATGTTGAGTAAAAACAATATCCCCTGCACCAATTAAATACTCAAAGCGTGGCACTCTCAGAAGCCTTCAGTGTACTCTGAGTGCTCTTCTGAGCAGCCAGTGTAAAGGCCCCAGGTCACCAGGGAGCACCCTGGTCACGGTATCTTCCACTTTGGTGCTGAGAAGTAGCCAGGCCTCTCACTACTGAAGTATGTCCGTGTACATTTACGGGATACCTCCTCCGCTTCATTCCCACCGATGTCCCCGGGACACCAGTGAGCCCTGCAAGGACAGGAGGAGGAAGGCATTGACACTGTACATGAACTCCTTGAATGAGCAGTGGAGAACTCCCTGCCTCCTGTGGCAATCTCCGGCTTCTGAGCCACCCTCGTCCTTGAGCAGGGAGTTCAATACTACCATGCAGGAACTGCAGACCAGGAAGGAGGAAGGTGAGGGCCAACTAGAAAGACCTAGTTTCTCAGTCCTTGGTGGAAGGGCCATCCACTCTCCTCCACTAGGCTCAGTGTTCGCTGGTACCTGGAAACCGTAGGTGGGCACATGTCGGGGAACCTATGCCACCGCCAACTTGTCCTTTGTCCAGGGAAGCTGTCGCCCATGGGTCTCTGTGCTCTTCCTTTCAGGGCCCGGGCTGGACCCCCTTCTTCACACCGCCATCAGTGATGGACCTATCTGCCCACCTTGATGGTGCAGGTCTGGTTACTAAGTTCAACCAGAGGCCTGACAGGATGGCTGATTTTGAGTCCCTGGTGATCTCGAAGTACGCTGACAGGTTGTCACAGTCTTGGCCATAGCTACATGATGGCTATTGGATGGGCGCCAAGGAACCTCTGGCCTTTCCTGCCCCATGCCAGGGTCCTCGAAGATGCTTTGGGAGGTGTCGGCAGAAGCACAGCCATGTGGCAACTGCACCCTGTGATGCAGGCAAGCATTCACCAGCCTGGCGGTAGCTCAGAGGTACTGGAAAGTGTTGCTTACAATATCAAACAGGCTGGATGGAAAGGAAGACAAGTCATTCTGACCCATGCTAAATAGGGGAGAGGCATACAGATGCCAACAGGTGAGGCAGGAGCAGGCTGTGGTAAGATGACAACCTTCGTCTTCATAGCAGCCAGAGCAGGATCCCCCACTGGCATTTCCCAGCATTTTGGGTTTGGAAATGGGAGATGCTGGAACAGCTTCATATCTCCAACGCCCCTGTGGCCAGCGAGTCACGGGACTTGCATCTGAGCCATTTCCAGCCACCTGCCACCGCTCCGGGACTGCAGTTCCTGGATGGGGAAGATCCTGCGGCCTCTGGATGTGGGGTGTGGTGGCTGGCCTTGCAGGACATTGTGTTTTTGGCTCTGGCTGGTGGAAATGTTTTCCATGTGTTTCCCTGTGTTTACGGAGCTGAGGGCATGGATTGCAGCCTGTGGCGAGGGAGCTGGTCTGACAGGGCCCAGCCACCAGTGCTTAGCCCAAGAAGTGGGTCCAATCTGAAAATGGAGCGCAAGGCCCGCTATGGGTCTGAGGGGTGGCCAATGCAGGAACGAGTATTGAAGAGCAGTGACCAGCAGTGCGGTTCAGCCCAGCTGGAGGCTAAGGTCCCCAAAGGCAGGACCTCTGCAGTCTGGGGAGGAGTTGAAGGGATAGTGTGCTTCGGTTGGTGGCTGCCTATACGTGCATCTTGTCACAACACACCGATGTTTGTTGAACTTGGCCCCTATAGTATAGTGTGCATAGTACAGGACCCTAGCATCTCCTCCAGAGATTGCTGTCCCGGCTGGTTGATGCAGGCCACCCAGCACAGGAGTGCAGGGAAGGAGCTGCAGCGAAGGTTGCTGCTTAGCTCAGAGCATCTCGTCACCCTGGGCCTGCTGCTGTTCCCGCCGTACTCTCTGGTCCAGCTGTTTCTTCAGGCTAGCCACCTAGGGACAGAGCAGAGCCTCAGTCAAGTCAGGAGCGACCTCAGGAACAGAATCACGAAGCGTTGTGTCAGGAGGGGCTGGGAGAGGCTACACAGTCCTTGGCTCCCAAGGGAGTATGCTGGGATGGAGTATGCAGGTGGACAGCTGAGGGACTCATCCCGTCCGCTCAGGCATGCCATGATGAGCATCCGAGCATCCTGTGAGTAGTGAAGGGGATTTACTTTTTCTGTGAAGGCCAGAAGTGTACTTAGAAGGCCTGGGTTAAAATAAGCATTGCTAGTGGGTCGTGGAAGCTGAATCGGGCAGCTACTTCATCTCTCTGTATCTGTTTCTTTTCCTTAAAATAAGGGTGTGACCACCAATGGCCCTAAGGTTCTGACTACTCAGCAGTTCAGCCGTGGCAGGCTCAACGCACACACGTACTGGTGTGAGTGTACTGTATGCACACTCCCCAGGATCTGTGAGATGCACTTTCCCAACTCACTAAGCTGCTCACATGCTGGTGTTCTCCCTGTGACTCAAAGGACAAGTGTGGGGCCACCACGGTTAGCTGTACACCACAGGCAGTCTCTGCATGTCACTGGTGGCTGGCCAGTCTGACAGGAATCATCCTCTCAGTGGCGGGCAGTGGAGGTCCAGAACCCACGTTCACTGAGCTGTAGGCGATCCATGGAACCACTCATAAAGGGGTGGGCATACAGAGTATGCCAGAAGTCAGGGTTCCCGACAGCGGTCACGTGGTTACCCTTGCGTGGGGCACTGTGGGAAGAGGGGCCCTTCCTTTCCCCTCATGCAGCCCTGCTCATAGGACCTGGCTTCTGGCCCTACCTGCCTTTCCAGAACCTTCACCCTCTGCTGATGTGCCTGCTCACGGGACTCCAGAGCCTGTGTGGCCTGCAGCTGGGCCTTGTGGAGCCTCTCGGCCTCAGCTGCTAGGTCCCGCTGGTGCTGGGCAGCCAGGGCTTGGAGCCGCTGGGTGTGGGCCCGTTCCAGCTCCGCCATCTGGGCCTGGAGTGAGAACACAGGCACTGAGGGCTGCTGGGATCCTGGGGTCAGGTCCAGTGGGATGCCCCACCCTTTCTTCGGGGCTGTACTTCCTGTCTTGGCCCCACTGCTTTCGGCTGGGGTGCTGGCCCTGGTCCAGGACCAGCAGCAGACCTGGAGCTGGCATCCATACTCAGCCCACAGATTTGAATCCAGGCCACCTGCTAAGGGTTTTGCTGGGCTGGAGCCCAAGCCACAGGAGTGTGCCTTAAATTTGTGTGAACAGCATCCCAGGTTCCCTTGGAAGTCATTGAATATTGATGATCATCCATCCTCCCTAAAGGTAGTCAACTGGAATGGGGTGTGCCCTGTGGTGGAAAGGGAGACTGAACCCTCAGAGGAGCACAGGGTGGTAGTAAGCCCCGGGCCTAGGAGACATGTATGGTCCCATCCTCCAGGCCTGCCTGATCCTGCATTCTGTTTCTTCTGCCATTTTGCAGAACTATGCCTGGCTCACAAGGTACCTCACCAAGCCCACTGGAACTCTGAGGGGATCTCTGGTGCCTGCACTGTTGTCTCGGCTCGGCGCTCATCACGGACAGTGTCCAGCTGCCTTCTCTGTACATGTGCAGGTATACACATGCGGCATTCGCACGTGTGAGATGCTCACGGGGACCGCACCATTTGAATACGGCACAGACATGTCACCAAGCTTACACAGCTAGAACCCCACGGGCTCAGCTCACCTGCAGCTGCTGGCTCTGCCGCAGGGCCCCGTCTACTTCCTGGTGTAGGCTGCACAGAGACTGCTGCAGCAGCTCCTTCTTGGCGCCCAGCATTGCTGTGTCCTCCTCCTTCCTCAGGGTCTCCTGTTCCGTCTGCAGGGACAGGGGGGAAGCAGAACTGCGGTGGGATTTAGGGTCTTCTGGAAGAGATGCAGTATCAGGTCAGACTTCCATCTGGGGAATAAAGGGTGCTTCTGAGATGGACTCCGAATCTCCTGGTGTAGTTGGCAAGGGTGCTGCCCCCTGCCAAGGTCTATTGGCACCTGCAGCCATAGCAGGAGTTAAGGAGAAGGGGCCAAGTATCTGCCCTGTTTTGGACCAGCAGAAGTTCCTGTAGTGATGCTTGGTGAGGGAGGTAGAATTTGAAGACCTATGTCCCCCACCTACCCTACCCCTTGCAAGACTCCCTCAGGCCTCTTGACCCCTACATGCCCCTATGGACTTTTTGCGATGCACAGGACTTTCTGCCTCTGCGCGCCCGAAGTCATAGATCTGACTACAGTCGCTGTCACGGTGCCAACAAGCCTGTGTCAAAGTGGCAGAGTTGTCTTTACCATCCATCCCGGGACAGAGACCCCTTAGTTACTCACTCCCACCTGGGCGGGTGCAGGAGCGGAGGAGCAGCCTGTAGCTTAGCTATGAGACATAGTCGTTTTCCCTGGGACACCGTTACCCTGTAGCTGGAACCTCTGGAAGACACGACTGATGAGGACTCCTCTCCTTGGAGAACAGTGGAAGCCTGCCTACCCACCCAAGGAGCCCGGAGTATCCGCACCAGAAACTTAGGGGCTCCCAGCTTCGAGTCCCACCAGGCTGGCCATCGCCAGGGCAGGACTAGAGCCAGGCCTTGCTCTTAAGCCAAACTGCTCAGTGCTGTGCCTGCCTGCTGCTGGCCTGCTGGGGCCATGTCCAAGTGCTCTGCAGCTCCTTTCAGTGCTAGGCAGACCTACTTTTGCCATCTGGGGCCTGGAACCCATGTGAGACTCTCAGGGGCCTTGGGATATAGTGAGTTATTCGCACGGACAAAGTTATAGGGTCAGGGTCTGAGTCTTAAAATAAATAAATAAATAAATAAAAACTTTCCTGTTCAGCACTGAGAAAAACAAAGAGCTCTCTCCAGTGAAAAGGGAACCCTGTTTCTTTAAAAGTCTAGCTACGCTGCTAGAAATGCATGCTATAAAGAGAAAAGTGAAATCCAAAATAAACAAATGTCCACATCCGGGTTTCCCCTCCTGAGACACCAGTAAAGGGTTTATGGGTTTGTGGCCCCTCACAGCTGACCTCCTGGGACTAATTAGCTGTTCCTGCCCTCCCCCTCTTGGGCCCCCGGGACCCAAGGCTGGCATGGTGCCCACATCTTGCTCTATTGCCCCTTCAGGAAGACATGACCCGACCCCCAACCCCTGCTCAGGCTGGGACAGACATCCTTCCCTCGGACAACTGCAGAAAGACCCTGGTGACTATACCCGGAAGAGACCACCTTCCCTTTGTGGCAGGGCAGGTAGCCTTTTATGACAGGCTGGTTGGTGGCTTTTGTAACTACCCTGGCCTGCTGGTTCCTGTGCTCTGGGCAGGCTGAGGTGGAGGCTGAGTTAAGCGGCCTCGAAAGGGTGGCCTGCCTTGGAGTCCATGCCTGAGGACCTCAGCGTCTCAACACAAACGTTCCTGCTTCCCTGCTTTGCAAATGGGGACACAAAGCCCCAAGTGATCCGGTTGCTGGTGCCACTTGGCCAGCCGGCAGACTCTCCGCTCCCTCCCCTTCTCTCTTCCACCTGCCATCTCGTTCCTGATGCTTTCTCTGCAGCTACTACTTGGGCCCTCTTCTGTCTCCGAGAGAGGAGGGAGGGTCTCAGAGCTCTGTGGCCACAACCTAGTCCAGGACTCTGCAAAGCTGGCTTGAATGGGGCCGTAGCATAGCGGACACCAGGATGCGCGGATTGACTTCTGGCCTGATCGGTGCTGAGCAATGACCATCCGTAGCCCTGCGGCATCAACACTGCCGGGTCTCATTGTATGGCCTGTCTGCTCTGCCCTGCTCTACCCCACCTCAGTGGCTACTCTCTGTGAGAAATATGAGAGGGGGACGGGCTATGAACATGGAGCGAGGCTTCCAGACTGCATACCTGCTGCCCCTGACACAGCCCACAACATCCTCAAAGTCGGGTGCTATTTCCATTGTGCACAGGACCCAGGGGCCCAAGAGGTAGCTTGTGTTTGGGTGGAGCGGCTACAAAGTCAGGGGTGGTCTACTAATCCATCGTGCTTCACCTCTCTCAAAGACAGCCAAGACAGGGTGCCTTGCCACCACCAGAGGTCTCTTGGAAGCTTTGGCGCTGGCTCTGAACTTGGCACCATTGCCAGGTCAATGAGGACACTGAAGCTTGCTGGAGCAACCTTTCTTGTGCCAGCATTCGCTCTATGGCCACCCATGGAGCTTTCTCCACTTCTTGCAGCCCTCCCCTACATCCCCGGGAATCTTTCCTGCCTTAAAATAAATACCTGTATGAGGCGAGTGCGCAGCGCCGCGAGCTCCCCCTGTAGGCGGGCCCGCTCGGTGCGCAGAGAGGTTGTTTGCTCCTGTAGGGCTTGCCTTTCTGCCCGCTGCTGCCTCGCTGCGGCTTCCTGCTCCCTGTGACTCCGCAGGAGCACCTGGAAGGGAAGAAGAGGCTGCATGGGCACGGGCCAGGGATGGGGAAGCCTTGGTCTCTCAAGCCAGGCATTTTGTCTGAGGATGGTCTTAGACTCAGCTTATTTTTTCCCCAAACTCCGCACCTGCTAGAAACCCCTCCTTCTGGAGGTGCCTACTGTAGAGCAAGAAAGTCAGCCCTCTGACTCCCTATGGTTTCCCTCCAACCTCAGTTTCCCTGCCTGTCACCTGTCTGGGTCATCACAGGACTTTATGCCTGCTTCTGGCTTCTGCCTAGGCCTCCTTTTATGCTGAAGAACTTTTTAGGTATTCGGATGCAGGGTCTTGCCAGGATGAGCAGGTTCACTGCATCCTGGTGACGTGTATACCTTGTCCTTGGGTCCCTCACCTGCTGCAGGGGCTCCAACTGCCTCCCCTTCTCTGGAAGGCGATGGCTGTGCCTTCTTCTGTCTTCCAGGGCCTGGCGCAGGGTATCCACTTGCTCCTAAGGGGGTGGAGGGGGATAAGAGTCATGGCATCTGCTGGAGAGCCTGCGGGGGTATGGATGCCACAGCCTAGAACATAGTTGAGGATAATGTGCTGTGCACTGAGTTAGTGGTTAGTGCAACAACAGAGGAGTGCGGGGCTCTTTGAATGTCCTTTGGCTTCATTAAGGAGGACAGAACAGGCTACCAGCACCCTAAAATTGTCCCTTGGGCCCTACTGATGGCTGTGGGGGAGGCTTGAGAAGAGCATATGTATGTGTTTATACGGGTTTGTGCACATGTGTGTGTAGGTGCCTATGCCTGTACCTGTGGAAACTAGAGGGATGTTGTATACTGTCCATGGCCATTCTCCACTTAGCTTCTTTTTAATTTATTTTTATTCTACATGTAAGAATGTTTGCCTGTATGTATATGTATGTGCCACATGCAAGCCTGGTGCCTGCGAAAGCCAGAGAAGACCTTTGATTGGATCCCCTAGAACTGGAGTTAGGGAATGTTGTGAACCACCACGTGGGTAGGGTGAATCGCATGTACTGGCTTTTCTGCAAAAGAAGCAAGTGCCTTTAATCCCCAAGCCATCTTCCCAGCTCCTCCACGTCTTTTGAGACAGGGCATCATACTGAATCTAGAGCTCATTTATTCCACTAGGACGGTCGGCCAGGGAGCTCCAGGGATCTACTTGCCCCCTCCTCAGTGCTGACATCACAGACACGTGTCTGTCTACTTGGTGCCAGTTCTGCTATCTGATCACGCTGGCCACCATGGTTTTAATATTCCCCTGCACAATTTTGTTAGCATATCTCAGATATTATCTACCCTGTAAACAGACAAAACCCAACCAAAAGCACCCAGCCAATAAGCAAGGGTCAAGCTCACACAGAAATAAAGACCCACATGAAACGATCCAAGCAAGCCATGCTCTGTGCCAGAGCCCGGCCCCTCGAAGGAGCATGCACACAAGGGGAAGGCTGCAACAAAAAGTGACAGAAGTCCAGGGAAGCCAGGAGAAAGGTGAGATCGTATACTCGAACTTCAGGAAGACTGGCATGTAGCTCAGTTGGTAGAGTATGTGCCCAGCATGCATGAAGTCCTGTGTTTGGTCCCCAGTACCACACACACCAGGCATGATGGTGTCTTCCTATGAACAGAATACTTGGGAGGTGGAAGCAGGAAAATTAGAAGTTCAAAGTCACCCTTAGTTATGTGTTGAGTTCCAGGCTAGCCTGGGCTGCATGATTCTGAAAAAAACAAAACCAACCAACCCAACAAACAAGCAAAGACCACTGCAGGGCACGCATCAAATCACTGCCAGGGAAAACTGAAAGAGAGATCAAACGCCAGCAGGTCACGTGTTCACTTTAAAGAAGTAGAAAAGAACAACAAAAACAGTAAGATACAGTATTATCAGCAATAAGAGCTGAAAATGAGTAAATGAGATGAAAACAAGCGAGGAGATACAAGTTGACTATTTGAAAAGACAGACTTTGGGTAAGGCGGGTTAAAAATAACAGAACAGCAACAGCAAAACCCTGTAGTGGTTGGGGATAATGAGGTATACGATTCCAGACATAGTCCCTCCAGCAAGCCATTGTGCACATGCATTCATGGAACACAATTGCTTACATGTGTAAGTCAACTGAGGCGCAGGCTGTTGAGTAGATGCATGCACAGGTGCTTGGCATGCCTCATTCCCAAATGACACACCGGTCCAAGAGACAGCAGAGACAAGGGCTGGCCAGGATTGGAGGGGTTAGTGTGCAGGACAGGAGCTGCAGGGTGGAGTGGTTAGCCTTCCTTGAAAAGCTAATCCCTGTGCAGTGTCTATCCCTCCAGTGACAGATGAGGACAGGAAACTCAGCAATTCTTTTTACAGCATGAAATATTCTTAGCATAGATACATCCAAACAAATATGGCATCATTAAGGAATTACAGCTGCAAACATTTGACAACTGTGCCCTCATGTCTGCGATGTGAGCCCCATCAAACGTGCACCTCCAAGGCAGGCAAGGTGTGCCCAGGCTTGGAACCCAGAGCTTGGCCCTGAGGTTTCCTTATGCCAGCAGAAGAGAGAGCAGTGGACTGTGTAAAGTCAGCGGAGCTGTTCAGGGTGTGCTTGCCACAGGGGAGGCCTCGGCAGGAGGCCAAGGACTTTTCAGGCACCGCTGGAACTCTGGGGCTGTGACCTGGTGCCGTTCCACAGAGAACACTAGTGACCTCCCCACTGGGGCATGAGGAATGTGTGCATGGGGGGCAATTCTTGGTTCTTATGCTCGAGAGCATATCCAGATGCATGTGCCTGGTGATGGGTGGGTGCATATAATGCCACGGACATGGCTGTTCATACAGCTGTGCCCCTGGGGTAGTCCTGTGTGTCCTGGCATCCTGCTGGGGCCCTGGGACAGTCCTCTGTGTCTAGCATTCTGCTGGGTTCCCTGAATAACCTTTGTGTTCTGTTTTTCTGTTGGGTCCCAGGATAGCCATGTGTGCCTTGCTGTACTTCTGGTTTCTCAGGGCAGCCCTGAGTGCCCTGTTGTTCTGCTGGGTCCTGGAGTAGCCCTGGCAACGGGAAGGAGTTGCTCTCAAACAAGAGCTGCACTGTTTGCATAGCACAGCCTACCATTTAATTAGAAAAATATGTTTTTAATTAACTTTTTCTTGACAAACACATTGGCTTATGTGAACCAAGTTGGGGGGGCAGTGTGGGGGAATCAGGCCACGAAAGTGAAAGAAGTTGTATAAAACGCAGGGCTTGCTTTGGAATATGCTCTAGGTTTGGCAGAACCAGGAGGGCACTAGGCCAGCCCTGTGGGGGCCGGCAACTACCCAGCTGTGGCAAGGGGGCACTGGGAAGCCACAAGAGAATTCATGGCTCCAGGCCTCCAGCTGGTCAGGAACAAATGGCACTTTTCTAGGATTATGAGAAAAGATGGCATAATGTTGGTAGGTTTTAGGAGACTTCTATAAAAACAAACAAAGTGAATCTTCATTGAACTGAGACGTGATCATGGGCAGAGGAGCGCAGAGAGACACAGAGCTGCTCCCTGCACCTTCGGGGTGGGGAGGCTCCAAGGGAAGCTCTCTAAAACCCAGGGAACAAGGCTCATATGGATGAGGTGGCCTCTATGCCCCTCAGGACCCCACACTGGCAAGCTTGAGGCAGAGGGCACCTCTACAGCAGTGTCACTTGGAAACCAGGCCATTGTCTCTCTGTTGCCAGGGTCTTTGGAAGGAGGAGAGCTACCCCGATGCAGGTCATCATGGCTCCCTACACCAGGGGGAGACTGGAACCTTCTTCTGCCTTTCCCCTCGGCCTGACATGTCAGGATGGAGTCATCCCGTCCCCACTGGCTCTTCCCCGACTCTGATTTCCAACAATAGCAAAGTTCCCTTCTTCACAGATATGCAAAGTAAAAAAAATCATAGAAGAGTGCCATTCAGAGGGGTCAGGGGTGAGGCACTCTAACTAAAGTAGTGTTTTGAAGGTGAGATGAGGCAGGGCCCTGAGTTCCAATGATCAGAAAAATGCCAGTCACAGCCCAGGGTTCTTCTCCACCTGTGGTTCATGGCAGAATCTCTTCCTGAGAGGGCAGAGGGAGGCTGACCTATGGCCTGGCTACTCCCTCTCCAGGGTTTCTAGGACTCACGTCCTCACCTAAAATTGAAACTCCAGCAGCTACCCCATAACACAGCACCCAACACAGGAACACAGGCTTGAGTCCCACACAAACCCTTTTGTGTCTGAGTGACGCAGAATGGAAAACAGGCCAGGAGCAACAGCAAAGGCCCCGGTGAAGATCTCAGAGCTAAGCAGGACCTTCCTGTGCCTGCTCGTGGGACCTCAGATCCATGCGTGGACCCGGAACACAGGAATCCAGCCCTGTCTCTGCACCCACCGGAAGATCTCAGCTTGGCCAGTCTGTAAAATGAGGTCTAGGCCCACTTAGAAGATAGCTGTGCTGGGGGGGGGCAAGACCCCCGCTCTGATGCGGGTCTGAGTTGCCTGTAGCGACCTCCCGGGAGACCTACCTGCATCCGCCTCCTTTCCTGGCTTGCAGCTCGCATGCTCGCCAGGTGCTCTGTTTCCAGCCTCTGGAGTGCCTCCTTCTGCAGGACCCGAGCTGCCTGGGCACTATGCAGTGCCCTCTCCGCCCTGTGCTGCCCTGGGACGGGGGGGGGGGGGGGAAGTAGCATGGCCTGAGTCTCCCAAGCTTGGCAGATTGTTGGGCCCCAGCCCCATGGGGTCTCCGTGAGTTGCTGGTCAGCCTACAAGGGCAACTTGTTTTCCAGTCCAAGTGCTTTCTGTTTTCTAGTCCTGGCTTACTGCCCTGGCCTTGACACTCTGACATCAACATCTAGCAGGAGGAAAACAACTATCTCTTCTACCTGGGGTTTTTTCCACTGTGATGTAAACCTGTATAAAAAGCTCCTCCGTCCTACAAGGGAGAGACCTCTTAGCACTTCCAATGAAGACAGACACACACACTCTCTCTCTCTCCTGACAATAAAGGCAGCACATGCATTCTCTTAGTACAAACAGCTGGATGTCTGGTCTCTCTTTTCCTGATACCCTGGACTTGGTTGTGGCGCTGGCGTGGCAATTGGAGGTCCCACCGAGATCCAAAGAGACTTAAAAAGACTAAAAAAGATCGGCTAAAAAGAAGACTCAGGGGAGGAGAAACTCAAAAAAAAAATTTAAACAGGTACCTCAACTTCTAACAGTAAAATTAAATAGTCAAACCTCCAGGCTTTGCCTGAGAGATCACCCTAGGTTGGAGGGTGGATTGGATTAAATCTCCAGGCCTTCGCCTAACAAAGGTCAAAAAAGTAAGGGGACCCTAAGAGATGGCCCTCAGTTGGAGGGTAGATTAGATTAAATCTCCAGGCCTTCGCCTGACACAAAGGTCAAAAAAGTAAGGGGACCCTAAGAGATCACCCTAGGTTAGAGGGTAAATTGGATTAAATCTCCAGGCCTTCGCCTGACACCAAGGTCAAAAAAAAAAAAAAAAAAAAAAGAAACCTAAGAGATCACCCTAAATTAGAGGGTGGATTGGATTAAATCTCCAGGCCTTCGCCTGACAATGGTCAAAAAAGTAAAAAAAACCTGAGAGATCACCCTAGGTTAGAGGGTGGATTGGATTAAATCTCCAGGCCTTCGCCTGACCACCAAGGTCAAAAAAAAAAAAAGAAAAACCTAAGAGATCACCCTAGGTTGGAGGGTAGATTGGATTAAATCTCCAGGCCTTCGCCTGACACCAAGGTCAAAAAAGAAAAAAAAACCTAAACGATCACCCTAGGTTGGAGGGTGGATTGGATTAAATCTCCAGGCCTTCGCCTGACACCAAGGTCAAAAAAGTAAGGGGACCCTGAGAGATCGTTCTCAGTTGGGGGGTGGATTAGATTAAATCTCCAGGCCTTCGACTGACACCAAGGTAAAAAAAAAAAAAGAAAAACCTAAAAGATCATCCTCAATTGGAGGATAAATTAAAAGTGGGTAAACTAAAATTGATAACAGTTAATAAAAGAGATACTAATATTAAATAAAAAAGATAAAAATATATAAAATAAAAAATACACAGAGAGTCTAAATACTGTGTACAGTTGTGGTGTCTTTAAATTATTTAATTACTAAAAAAAACCAAAAACTACTAAAAAACAATTAATTATTAATACTACTAAATTAATCCAACTTACATGTTTTAAAAATACTTTAACTTCTAAATTTAAAAATAAGGACAGGTTACTTAAAAAAATTTCTACTTTTGTTTCCACAAAACATAAAAAACTGTGGGTTCCTTCCAGACTAGTATGGTTTGATGAAGCAAGACCACCTAAAACAGTGGCCCAGGTGATCCAACACCTAAAACAGCTAAAATGATACAACCTTACAGACCACAAAAACAAAAACTTCAACAGGATTCTGAGTTTGTTTTTTTGTTTTTGTTTTTTTGTCCTCATCCCCATGGTATTTCAGCGCCCCTTAACAGCAAAAATTAGCTGTTAGTGTGGGGGGGGCCCAGAAAAGGGCCTCTCTGAGGAGGTGACAAGGGCAGTCATGTGGCTTTCTGGAGGGAGGGTGCCCTGGCCCGAGGCTGGAGGATGGCCAGATTCAGCAGGTCCAGGGGTCTCTGGAGTCCATCCCTCTAATGGGAAGTCATCGCTGAGAAAGGCAGCACTGTGCCATCCTGGGGGTTGGGTACAGGCCCAGGCCTACCCCAGAGCTCCCCTGAGGTCACTAAAAGTGCACAAGAAAGGGACATGGAAGGAGAGGTTCACCTTCCTCTGCATCAGTTAGGTCCCTCTGTAGCTGCTCCACGCGGCCCTGTAAGTGGATGCGCTCACTCTCTGCCTCACTCAAGCGGCTGCTCAAACTGGCCACCTGGATGCTAGAGTTCTCCTAGGCAGAAAGAAAGAACTCAGCAGGGTGCTCTGGTAGGTAAGAGGTAGGGGGTAAGATATTTACCAGTGAGCTGGGAGGCCAGGCAGGCAGCTTTTGGTCGAGCCCATAACATATGGGGCAGGGTGGTGGGACCATAAGCGGTAGAGAAGGTCAGCTATAGTGGATGGCCGAGCTTACACACTAGCCTGCCTGGGAGGACAAAGAGGCTGGAGAAAGGGAAGAGTCTGAAGAACTTAGATTGGGGCTTGAACTAAGTGGGGAGCTTCCAGGAATGGCCATAGGAGACAGAAGCAGTGGGCTAAGGATTAGAGCTGAGAAACCTGCCCCCAGGCCTAGCACGGCAGGAAGTGGGAGCACAAAGAGCAGAGGCAGACAACCCCTGTGGTCCCCGTGATTATGGTCTGTCCCAAGCTCATCTGTTTCCAAGGAAGTGGTAAGGGGACAGTCACTGTGTCCCTGGTGGACAGAGGCATCGGTGAGGAGGGGACAGTGTCCCCGTGTGAGGGACTGTGGGGAACACTCAGGTGTCATGGCCAGGAGTGTAATATAATACAGTGTCTTCAGACCCTGGGATGCCTCAGCAGGGCAAGCCCCAGGGCATTTGCTGCTGCCTACTCTGAAGGACTGGGTGGCCCTGTGCCTCGTGAGGGACTTGGATCTGAGAGGTGGTGGCATTCCTGGTGTTTATCACCCCAGGGCAGGCTAAAAACTGACCACAGACTGTTAGCCAGCATCTCGGCAAGCCCGGAAATGGACAGACAGATGGACAGCAGTCTTAAGTGAGTGGTTGAGTTCCTTCCTGCCGCCCAGAGTCCCTGGGGGTGTACGCCTGTGTGGGCATGGGAGACCTGAATCCCTTTTTACCTGCTCCTGCTGGGCTTCCTGAAGCTTTTGCGTCATGTCCCGCAGGGCATCCCTCACAGAGGCCACATCTATGATCTGTGAGTCAGGGTCTCCAGGTGCAGGCGAGGGCCGTCGGGATGGAGAGTAGGATCTAGTAGGGGGACTGGCCCTTTGCCGTCCAGGGCGAGTCTGGGAGCTGCCTGCAGGAGATGAGAGCCAAGGTGGATAGGGGCAGACACACAGATATCCTGTGCTTCTCTTTCCTCAGCTCCTGCCCGGGAGCTAGGAGCAATGCGGCCTAAGGAGAGCTTAGGGTACTCAGGTTGGGGACAGAACGGAGTGGAAACCACTGACCTGTTGTGGGAGAATGGGACCTCTCTGGAGAGGCCGAGCGGCTCTGACTCCACAGCCCTAGGCCGCTGCGGAGTGTGGAGCACAGCCGGCCTAGCTGGGCCTCCGCGTTGTGCCTAGCACCCTCAGCCTGGGCCAGCTCCTGCTCCAGGGTGTGGACTCTGCTACTGGCATTGTCCAGGCTGGCCTGAAGGTCGCTAGCCTGGCTGCTGGCCTGTTGTAGCTTCCTGGTGAGTCTGCGCAGCTCTGTCCGCAGGGTCTGCTCGGCCCTCCGGCTCTCACAAAGATCCTCCTCCAGCTGCTTCACCCGGGCCTCCCCCGCTGCCTCCACTTCGGCCAACTTCTGCTGTAGCCCTAGAACCTGTAGGAAGGACGTTGGGACTCAGATTCTGACAGCTAGGCTGGCTGGACCAACAGCTCAGCCAGGGCAGCGGGAAAACCCTGTTGGGTAGACCCTTTGAAGACTCTCAGCATCATCCCAAGACAGGTATAGCTGGAAGGCATCCTAGCTCTGTCTCCGAGAGTGTTTAGCAGGTGGGTATACCTGAGTCGTGTGAGGACCGCCCCTCATCAGCGTGGCTTGTCCTTCATCAACAGAGAGCTTGGATGGCAAAGTCACAGCTAATTAGGGCCATAGACCGGCTGCCCTCTCCTGCTAGAGACCTACCTCCGCCGCTCCTCTTCATTGGCCACTTGAGAGCCTAGTCACAACGGAAGCGTGCTCTGTTGTGTTTCTCACCATGGGACGGTACCTGTACCCTACACACTCGTGCGTGCATGAGCAGGGAAGGCACAGGCTGTGTGGAGGAGGGGAAGGCAGTCTGCCCCCTTTCCCTGAGCCATAGCAGGGGAACCTGGCCTCATATCCCTTTCTGGGTGGCTGCAGCATAACAATGGCCTTATTCACAGAAGGAGGTGTGGAGATGGGGTCATTCTGGGTCACATGAGCTTGGGAGCTAAGCTGTCCACATTCTAGGCATGACTGGTGTTCAAGATGGCTAGGCATGTCGTTTTGGTCCAAAAACTGGGGACTGCTGGGTTCAGAAATGCCCCTCTGTCCCTGGAGGCAAGTAGTCCCTTTAGTTACACCGAACTACAGTCCTAGCTGGGGCTGAACAGTGTTTTGGGAGCAGGCATAGGGGGTATGAGAGTCCGGCGCGAGTGCGCGTATGCGTGCGTGTGCGCGTGTGTGCATGTGTGTGTGCATGTGTGTAGGGCTTGGGCATGTGTGATCTCAACATGCAAGGGTCTAGGCATTAGCTCGGAGTCCCGAGGGGCCTCCCTACTGGCTCCTGCCCAGGACTCTGCCCAGCACCTGGGCAAGATTTGGCTCTTTTCTAAAACAAATCTGGGGAAATGGAGAGGTTACAGCTTAACCAAACCCCTTGCCCTCAGATCCCCGTAGCCCGTCTCTTGCTGCACACGCTCAGGTTATCACGGGCACAGTGGATGGGGACAGGAAATGGGCATCTGGCCTCTTTCCACCATTCCCCCTCACTGCCTCCTTCCTCCCCCATAGGTGTTCTCACGGACCTTGTCTTGGTCCGTTTGTACCAGAGCTCAGTGGTCCCCCTGAGAGGGACAAAAGCCTCCCTACCTCCTTCTGGGCGCCGTCCCGGGCAGCCTGGGCCTCAGCTATCTGCCTCTGCAGCTCCAGGGCCTCCTGTAGGTTCTTCCTTCGCTGCTGGGCATCACGGGAGGCTTGGGCCTGCAGCTCACTCACCTCCTGCTTCTTCCTCTGGTTCTCAGCTTCCAGGGTCCTTACCTAGGATATGGGGGCAGGGACCCAGCAGCCCCAGTGACCCCTGCCTCTCCTCACATGCCCTCCATTTGGGTCCCACATGCAAGGGATGTGAATTCTGGGCAGAGGGCTTGGGATCCAGCCTCTCCGACTCTGCAGACATATTCCTGGGGCTCCTCTTTGGGTGCGGACACTGACCAGGGAGTCCGGGAAGCAGCGTTGTGTTAGCTATGGCTCTCACTAGGGAATGGCTGTGGCCAGTGTCACTCCACAAGAAGAGTGGGAGTTGGAAACTGTCACCCAGGGTGGCTGTGAGGCAGGGAGAGGGGAGGACAACTAGGGGCAAGTTGTTTGTGTGGAGGTCCCCTCACCTGTCTGTGGCACTCCTGGAGCCTCTGGTGGGTAGCCCCCTGTGACTGTTCTAACTCCTGCAGCCTGGTCCTCAGCTCATAGGCTTCCCTCTGAGCTGCTACTTGGGCCTCTTGAAGCATCAGCAGCTTCTGCTCCTGCTCCTCCTTGGACCGCTTAAAGCTAAGCAGGCCACAGGCTGGTTGGACACTGACCCCAGAGCTCTTCAGACAGACCCTCCCCAGGGAGATGCTACTCTCTGTGTGTACTCTACATACTGCCCTGAGACATAGCCTCTGAGGGGTTCCCACTGTCTTCGGCTCAGAGTCTATCCTAGTCTTAGTCCCCAGAAGTGTGGCCCTGCCCACTTCCACTTCTCAGCCCACCCTTCCTTACCTCTCTGTCACCCCCTTCCCCCCCAAACCTCATGTCTAGCCCAGTCTTCCAAGCCACTCACAGCCACTTCAGGTCCTTAGCCTGTTAGGCCTGTTGGATGGGAACTCCTTGAGGATAGGAACTTGTTGGCTTGGTTCCCAGCCTCCCTGAGTAGGCTGGCATTTGTAGGCATTTTAGTCTGGGCATCTGAAGGTCACCTTCACTGTCTTCCTGGTCGAGCTCTAGACTAGTAGACTACCCCCTGCCATGCCCTCTCACTATGACCTGATCGAATAGCAGGGCTGCAGGCTCCTCCCATAACTACTCTGCAGGGTACCTGCCATATCCTGCCATACCTGGCTTTCTCTTGCTCGGCCCTGTGGATGGTGGCCCGCAGCTTGGTGTTGGAGGATTGCAACACATCCTTCTCCTGAGCCTCGTCGTCCAGTGCCCGGCGGGCCTCCAAGGCCTCCCTGCGGAGACTCTGCTGACTCTCCTCACTGTCCTGAAGCTCTTGGCGCAGTTCAGCCAACCTTTCATGGGCCATGTTCAGCTGTGCCTGAAGACCCTCAGCCTAAGGGAGAAACATGCTCTGGTGACCAGCTTGGGGACCACGGGCCCGGGACTGACTCTGCTCTATGTTCACGCTGTAGAACTGTGAGATGTGGGTGGATCAGGGCCTTCCTGGGGCATGACTTTGTCCACACATCAGCTTCGACTACTGATAGCTCTTCCTACCCGCTCACCCAGGGCCTACTCCTCCATTTTGATAACTACGTGGTTAGTGGGTCAGCAGCCTTAGCATCAGCCACTACAAAGCCCTGAGTGCAACCATCCCCTCCAGCCTCCTTCTCCTAATAGTGTGGGGGAGATGGGGTTGGGAGAGGCGGAGCTCAGGCACCCTGTGCCCTTCACATTCTCTGGAAGACTCAGGGCATCCCAGGCCAGGCTGTTCCATTGCTGAAACAAGAGTCTTCAAGGCAGGGCTCAACCCATAGGAGCATGGATACCTTCAGACATAAGGGAGGCCTCTTAGTACCTCTGTGAGCTGACTCAGGGAAGGCAAGGGGTCATGTGTGTAAGTTCTCATCTCATCACCCATGGCCCACAGGGTGACCCATCACACTGGAAACAGGGATAGTGCCTGCACACTGCAGGGGTACCAAATCTTTGTTTCCTGCCCTGGAGCATGAAGCATTTCTGGTACCCAGGTTCTATATGGAAGAGTCTGGAAGAGGGAGAGTCCATTCTCAACTCCCAGGCTATGGGGCAGGGACTTGCTGAGGCCTCCCAGTCCCAACCTACAACGCTGACCAGAAGCCTCAGAGAGTGCTGCATCCTGGCTCTCAAGTGTCTCTGAGGAGGAGGTGGAGGAATCCAGCAGGGACATGTTGAGAGAGGAAGCCACAAGAACTCAGTGATGCTGGGTGACTGGTTTGCCAAAAGCAAACCCCTCTCTGCTAGCTGTTTTCACGGGACATTGTCCAGGCCCCCCGGCCGGCCTGGCTCCAGAGTCCGCCCGCTGTTATTGTTGTTCTGTTTTTGGGAAGGGCCAGGGCCTCCCCACTGCTCCCCACCCACCCCCCACATGTGGGAGCCACAACCGTGCGGAGCATTTTCCGCTGAGCTCAGCAGAATCCGCCCAGAAGGTCAAGGACCAGGGAAAGGGCCTGTCCATCATTAAAGGAGCTGCACTCATTTCCCGGAGTAGGGGAGATGGAAATAAGCAAAACAAATGGGGGAAGGGCCCCCCCTGCTGCCAGGCCACCTCCTCCCCGCTGTCCAGCACCCCCACCCACCGCCTCTTGAGGACATCCATCCCTTTTGCAGGAATTTTACAGCCAAATCGCTTAATGTGATTATAATAATTATTTCTTTACTAGAAGTTGTATAAACAGTCTCTTTTGAAATTTCCTGCAGGGAGGCAACTCCAGAGCGCTGCAGGGAGGAAGGCAGCAGGGCAAGCAGGGGAGAGGTGGCAGTGGGATAGCCTATGTGTGCATGCATGCATGCATGCATGAGCTGAAGGCATTCATGTGTGCTTTGGTGCACACCCAAAGGATATGTGTGCATGCATATGAATGTATGTTTACACATGTATGATAGGTGTGCGTCTAACTATACACATATTTGCTATTCATCTACATACACGTGTATGTGTTTCTCCATGTCCGTCTGTGCTTTTGTATGTGATCACTGCATGTGTGTGAACGCATCGGGTGTGCATATGCATATTGCTTAGCGTGCACATACCACTGAGTGCGCGTTTGTGTTCGTACATGTGTGTTGTCTTAAGTTGCATGAGGTCTGCACACATGTGCATACAAATGGGAGGCATCGACACGCAGGCTTGTGTGTGCATGTGCATATTTGCACGTGTATGAACCTCAGGAAGGTTTGTGAGAACGTGAAAGTTCCTCCAGTTGGAAGTGGGGGAACTCAGAACCAGCCTGGCACCTGGGACACTCGTTTGCAATCATTTCTCTTTTCCATTCTGTCTCTCCACCTTCTCAGACCCCCCTCACCCTTATCACTTTCTGGGGGCGTTTCTATCTCCCCACCTTCTCAGACCCCCCTCACCCTTATCACTTTCTGGGGGGTTTTCTTACCAAAAACTGGACCTTGCTGTGATGTCCATACCCTCCATGTGGCCAGAACAAAGAGTCCCCCTCCCCAGATCCTTCTCTTTCTGCCCCCAGTTTTGAAATTACACTTTGCTCCTCCATGTGGTCGCTGACCAGGCCTCGGCTTTGAAATCTTTTGGAAGGAGCCTGCTCTCTTCGGGGCCAATATAAACAGCCCGTCATGTTCAGTCATGCTCTCTTCCTCTCCCGGGCTCTTGGCCGGCCCCTTGGGGTGTGCTTGGGAGGGAGAGCCCTCCCCTCACCACACCAGGCCAGCTGCCCTGCCTGCCAGCCTTGGCACGCAGCCCAGAAGCTGTGAGGCCGCTTTGTCCCCACAGGCCCCACCTGGGTTCTGGATGACCCCCCTCCATCCTCAATCCACATACCCTCCTGCCCTTGCCTCTCCCAGGCGCCCCCAAGTCCTGTCAGAACTCCTCAGAAACACCTTTCCATCTGCCTGCCTGCTGGGCCCCTGCCTGGCCTAGCCCTGGCCTCTTCTGGCCCCGCCCAAGGCTGTCCCCCAGCCTGTTGTGATCATGAGTCTCTGTGTGAGCATCAGGGCCCATGACTGCCCCTGAAAATCCCCCTGCCATTCTCCTTCTCCTGCCTTTCTGCCCTGGGCACTCCACTAAGGAGTACTCCACTACAACACGCCATCCAGCACAGAGTCCCCTGTGCAGGCCGACCCTAACTCCCTGTGGGATTCCTGTGGTGGACAGTTTTAGACAGCATCTCCCACCCCTGTGTCACAGTGGCCTCTCAGGCAGGCTTAGGGGAGGTCACTGTACAATGACAGCTCCCTGCGTCTCACGTCTGGTCTCAGAACTATGTAGAGATGAAGGTTAGGCTGGGGAGACCCTGGAGTCTGTGCCATGGTTCTGATCAGTTGTCCATGGCTAGTGCCCTGGGTAGCCAGCCTCTGTGGTCTTCCTGGGATGAGGCAGGACTGGCGGTAGCCATGACTGGGCCTCACATCCACCTGTAGCAAGCAACAGCAACTCTGCTTTCTCTCAGCAGTGGCTCTGCTCTGTCCTGTCGAGTCTCTTACAGCCAAATATGCCACTTTGGACAAGAAATAAAGCCTTCTTCTGCTAGGCCAGGCCATGGCCAAATGGGGCAGTCTGTTTGACTCTTGCTGGTCTTGTGATACCCTCCTTTCTCCTGGATCTTTGCTCTCAAAGCAGTTCTTTCTTCCCTATACTCAAGAGACCCATCTCCTCACCTCTCTCCTCACACTGCTCCGCTCGGCTCCTGTCTCCCGCAGCTTTTCTCTCAGAGTTTCAGCTTCCCTCTGGTGGGTGGAGATGGCCTCCTCAAACTGGACCTGAAGAGTTCTCAGCTCTTTGGTCATGGTGGCGATGGTGGCCTGAGGATACGGAGATCACTGGGTTTCTGGGAGGTTGGTCTGAGGCCTGACTGCCAGGCCACGAGATGAAGCGTGTGGGATGAATGCTCCTCAGGGAATAGTGCCCCACCTGAAAGAGAGCTTGGGCTCTGACGTCCCCTGCTCATGTCTCTCTGCCTTTCCTCTGGGATTCCCAAGCCATCAGTCAGATCATGGCAAGTGAGTAGGCATGGCCTGGTTGGGTGGGGCTCAGGTGTCCTTTTCTGCCTACCATTCCTGTTTAGCCTACACCCTTTATATGACAGGGGACAGGAACAACTGCGTAGCAAGTGAACAGGTCCTGCCCCGAGTGGCACTAGCATGTGGGGCTTCCTGGGCAAGCAATGGATCTGGGGCTGAACCTCTGCCCCAATGAGGCTTTCTGCTCACTCAAGTCCTCCAAGTCTGGCTGGACCTGGAACATCTTAAGCCCCAGGCCATGAGACCCACAGCATCCTCTATGTCAAAGCTGGGTCAGTGTTGGGTGAGGAGGCCAAAATCTCAGTGGAGAAATGCGGTGAGGGGCTAACCGGGCACTGCTCCCCACAGACGTCCTATCCACCTGGCACTCAGTTTCCTGAACTTTCCAAGGCATCCACCACCATGCCATCGTAAATGCATGTGCTGTAGTCACATACGCAGAATGATGTCGTCATAGCTTTGCAGTTGTATAGTGCTGTGGACTCAGTGCTGCCCAAGACTGCTGTCCTGTTACACCACAGCCCTGTTCCGTGACACTCCAGCCTATTCCTGTTGGCTGCTCAGCGCCCAAAGGAGACTGGGGTCCTCTAGGCACCCCTCCTGGGTTGACTTTGAAGCACTCCTTGTCCACAGACAAGGCCTTGACGCGGCCCAGTGCAGCCCCTGGTCAGGGTTCTTCCCCACTCACTCTGGGCCTCATCCCAGGCCTCATGAGGTTCTTTCCCAGGACTGCGAGGTCCTCCGCATTTGGAAGAAAATACTCTTTCCCCCCTGATAGGCTACTGCGCTGAGAGGCTGGGCATGGAACCATCTAGGCAGGACAGCTGGGCTCGCAGTGGTGTCAGGGCCTCTCCAGAGCCTGCAGTACTACAGAGAGGCCCCGGTGCTATGTGGGGACCCCACTCTCACACATACATTCTCCAGGCCACCATCTGGGGTATGGCTGTAGAGAGGCTTCCATCAGCCAGCCCCTCCCTCTGCCCCTTGGACCCTGCTTTCCTTCTCCATGGGCACGAGCCGCCTAGGTCATGGCTCTGTGCCCACATGGTCCTGAAATGCTTGCTCAAGGAGGCTGCAGTTCACTGTGAATATTGGGGACCAGCTCCTAGAGGCAGCGATGACTCAGGCCAACAGGCCCCTCCACCCATCAGTGGCTCAGTGCCATGTCACCCCACCGCTGGGGTTCCTTGGCTGTACTTCCCCTCTCTCAGCGGGTTTTAATTTCCATTTTCTAAGCTGAGGTGGCAAAAGAACCCTTAATGAGCTCCCCGAGGAGCCCAGCTGGCTGGAAGGCCTGGTCCCTAGCCCAGGGGGAGACTTGGCCAGCATGAGAGAAGCCTCCAGAAGCCAGTTCTGGCTCCTGCAGAGGCTGGTCTATGAGTGGGAGGCGGCAGCTCCCAGGGTCTCTGGATGCTTTCCTGCCCATAGGGCGGAGACTGGTAAGGGCAGCGTGGAAAGGACACAGCCACAGACTGAGACCCCTCCAGGCCTGTGCCAGGGAAGTACTGTCCAGCCCTCTCGAGGGGCTGGGGGAAAGCAGACAGAGCAGGGGGCATAGGAGCAAGGTGGAAGCTTCCAGAGCCTGGGTACCACTTAGATTGTCCTATCCCGTGGTGGTGGGGGTCAGAGTATGTGTACCGGGGGGAGGCCATACCTAATTGCCACACCATTTCCTACTACTACACAGCACTGGGACCAATGCCTACCTACTGCCATCAGAGTCCCCAGGGCGCCCTCCCCACAGGTCTGCCACCTTTGCACACACGCCTCGCATTCCAATCGGGTGGTCTTCTCTCATTGCCCACATGGGCAACAAGAACAGATCTCCAGTAGTCAAAGACTGGCCACAAGGACAGCCTCAGCTCCGCCCTGGAGGCCATGTCCAACAGTAAGACAGGAGTAGTTGTGCCCGCTCACAACCGGGCTTTACTGGAACAAGCTTGAGCACAGGTAGGCAAGGCTTATGCTGCATGGATCAGAAGGTGGGGACACAGGCCTGGGTCTACCCCTTTCCCGGCTGTTGCTGTCCAGTATACGGTCCAGCCTGGCCCTCCTGTTAGTCTTGATCAACTCCGATTGCCGGGAGCACCAGGCCAGAAGAGTCCCGGTGCTGTAGGCCTCGGGGCATAGACAGTCATAATCACTGAGCTATTCCTGCCTTTGAGATACCAGCTTCTTCCAGCAGGAAACTTGGAGGCACCAGGAAGGCACGTGACTCGGGAAGACACAAAATGGGGAATATACTTGTAGGGCCAGACAGAAAGGGGGTGTCCTGGGAGCTCTCAGGACTGTCTCAGACATAGGTGACCAGGCAGTTGCCTGGCCCTTGCCTGGGAACTGCTGTCAGTGGGGCTCACCTCAGCTTGTGCTTGCTGGTGCTGGGCCTCCTGGCGTGTCCGTTCCAGCTCCCTGTTAGCTCCAGAGAGCTCCTTGCTCAGCAGGCTCTTCTCTGCTTCCTTCAGAGACATTGCCTGGACATGAGGAGACAGAGTGCCTGTGAGGCAGCTGAGGAGTTGGGGAGCTCAGCAGCATCGCCGGGGCTGCCTTTCTGAGGCACAACAGGATGGCGCATGTTCAGTTTCCTGCTAGGGTCACCAGCTTTTTTGTGCATACCCTGCCGCTGGGCAGGGGGTGGTCCTGAGCTCAGGCCTTTACCGGTAACACAATCCTTCATACTGCTCCCACCTTTCCCTGGGCCTGGTTCTCACTGGGCAGGGTGGTGTCTCATGACCCCCTATCATCCTGGGTACTGCTTCCTACAGTGATCAGGAAGAAGCCGCTGATAGCACTATACCCTAAGGAGCCATCTCTCACCAAGGACGTGAGCAGGACATAGCAGCCAGACTCAGGAGACCCAGCTCCCAGATTCACCCAGTTGTATCATTGATCATGCCAGGCAGGGAAGCCCCAAGAACCCTGGACCAGCCCAGGGTGAGTCCTGGTTGGTGAACACAGACAGGCTAGGACTGGGATGTATCAGGTGGACTCGGACTGGCTCCCTGGCTTGTCCCGGTTGTAATGTCTGAGATAAAGCTACAGCAGCAAGCACAGCGCCTTCCCGACGCTCCAGTCCTCCCACGGAATCCCCAGCTGAGGCTCATGGTACTTCCCGCACTTGCAGCCACTCCGGTGAGAGGCATGGGTAGCTGGAGAGCACCCGCGCTTAGCTGTAAACCACTGCGCTCCCAACCTTCGCTGTCTGCACTAATGCCTGGCAGCTGGGATGGGTTGCGTTGCAGAGGAACTGAAGGCTGACAATTGTCTTTGAGGAAGAGGCGGTGAGGCAAGAGCCCCACTCTCCATGTTTTGAGCAATTGAAAAAACAAACAAAAACAAACAACCCAGTGCTCCTCACATACCCCCTCCCTGTGGGAAGCCATGCTTGCTTTCCTCTGCCTCATTCGCCATGGCAACCTGCCCACCCCTGGCCTGTGGGACCTTCGAGGCCTGGAACCTTGACTTCCTTCTCGAAGTTCTCACTATGGGGCAAAGCGAAAATAGCCAGTTGTCTTATTCCTTTGAGGCTCCATCCATGCAGACTCCCTCTTCTTGCCTGCGGTCTCCGGAAGACTGCCTTCTGACCGAACTTGTCAGTTTCCTCCAGGAGGTATGCCAGATCCGCCTGCCAGATCCTCCCCACCGGGCACTGTTTCTTCACGTTGACATGAGGTTCAGCGGGCAGGGCAGGCAGAGGGCCAGGGGAAGTCCACTGGCCGCTGTGGGGACCATTGCCCACACGCCTGGCTTTCTGTACTATATGTAGCACTGGAGCACAATGTTATTGTGGTCATGTTGTGGGTCCAGGGAAACGGCTGGAAGCCATCTTCTTAGCCTGTTCCCCTCCTACTGACTCTCCTCTCTCGGGGCTGTTCGCCAGGCCAGGAAACCACAGTCAGATGAGAATAGGTGCTGTGGCCTGGTGTGACCTGGTGATGGTCTCAGATGCAGTGAGGGCCTGCAGGGGGTCTCGACCATTGCCCATGCCCCAGATATGTTGCTTTCCTGAGCATCTTCTCATACGCCCATGGGGATGATGTCACTGTGTTCCAAGCGCCTCTGGATCCTCCACAGGTGTGGCTTCCGCTCCAAGCTCTCTCTGTTCTCCCTGACTCCAGCTTCACTACCCCAGGCCCCTTCATATCACTCCTGCTCGGAAATAGCCCTGGTTTCCATTACTTGAACCTAGTGTGTAGGACCTTCAGGGCTCCTCTGCGGCCCTAGCCATGCAGCTCACACAGATTCTGGGGGCCATAATGACACATGCATCCCAGTTACTCCCGAATGCTCTCATCCCTGCCTCTTGCTCCCATCTCAACACCCTGCTCCTCTTGCAAGGCCTTAGCTTCCTCCAGCACAGCACACAGAGAGGTGTGCAGTTAAAATCATGGCTCCCCTGCCCAGAGCATACACTGTGTAGCTTCGGACAGGAGACCAGCACGAGCACGTCTCGATTTCCTACCAGTCAAATAGGCTTTTACCCTAGAATGTTGACAGTCAATTAGAAATACAGTCTGTTCATAAACCCTGCCTCTTCCAGCCACCCTTATCCTCTCCTTGCAATCTGTGATTGGTGCAGAGAGGGAATGTCTTTGCTCACTGTGACGGCATGCTTGCCTGTGTGTGCCTGTCGGCTCTATTCATTCAGCAGTGAATTCTTTAGGACAGCCCAGTTCCTTGGAGAAGCCTGGGCTCAAGGGTAACCTTTCAGATCCACTGTCTAGACCTGTGGGACGGAAGAATGCTCAGGCTGGATGAGAGTCATGTGACTGGTCCTTCCAGATGGGGTGACTGGCTGATCAGGCAAGTGAGTTGACAGACACATGGACGAACAGTTTGGCACATAGGTAGATACCCGAATGTGTGGCTAACCGGAAGGGCATCTCGGTGGGTAGATTAACAGATGGATGCCTGGGAAAGTTAATGGGTGGATGCTCGGCTGTATGGATGGACAGCTGGATAGTCATGTATGTGAGTAGAGATCTGTGAGCACAGAAAGAGAGATGCATAGTCAGGTAAGTAGAAGGAAGATGGGTTAGTGAGCGGAAGGACATTCACATGCATGGATGGGCAGGAGGGCGGATGTGCAAGGAAAGTGTATAAATGTGGAGAAGTGTGCATGTCTGCATGTGTGTGTGCACATGTGTGTGTATGTGCAAATGTATGTAAAGGGGTGGTTGGGTAGATGATGTATGAATGTGTGGATGGATGGCTGGTATGTGGGCATGTGGATGGATGGATGGGTGTGTAGATGGATGGATGGGTAGGTGGGTGGATATCTGTTCACCAGGGTTCCCATGGCAGTGCAAAGCTGTTTCAATCATGAAAGGATGCACCTGCTTCGGGGAGGCTTCAGTGCAGCCCTTGTGCTGGGGCCAAGAAGAGAGTGAGGTGGGTAAGGACCCCGGCTCCCACGCCACCATCACCTGCTGCATCTCATGCTCCAGTTGGAGGAGGCTCTCATCCCGCTCCTGCTTCAGGCTCTGAATTTCCCTCTCCAGAGCCTCCCTCTCAGCTGTAGTTTTTGTCACCAGCTCTTTTTGCTGTTCCATCCACTGGGCAGCCACCTCTTTCTCCTCTGCCAGGGATAAACTGAGGGTCTCCTGGCCAAGGCAAAGGGTAGGTCATGAAGTCAAGACTGGGAGACTGGCAGGCACTTGAGGCTCTGAGCTAAACCTAAAGCTCCTGAGGAACTAGGGGTTGGTGGTCCAGCTGCCAGTCCTCCCTTTGTTTTCTCTACAAGATTCCCAAAAAGAAGCTGGGAAGGGCCTCTATGGGTCTCAGCATCTACCATTCCATACCCAGTGCCACTGGTGCAGGGACATAAGGTTGGACAAGTGTATAGATGGATGGAAGGATCCCAGGTAGGTAGATATACACATAGATGAAGGAACGGATAGAGGGATGTGTGTTTGGAGGGATGTTATGGATAGCCTGTAGTTGGGTGTGTGTCTATATGGATGGGTAAATATTTGGGTAGATGGACAGATGGATGGATGGATGGATAGATGGACAGATGGATGGATGGGTGGACGGATGGATGGATGGACGGATGGATGGACAGATGGACAGACGGATGGATGGATGATGGATGGACAGATGGATGGATGGACGGATGGGTGGATGGATGGATGGATGGACAGATGGATGGATGGGTGGATGGATGGACAGATGGATGGATGGGTGGATGGATGGACAGATGGATGGATGGGTGGATGGATGGACAGATGGATGGATGGACAGATGGACAGATAGATGTGTGATGGAAGAATGGGATAGAACACGCAAATCCTCCAGGGTCACATGACCCTGGTGGTACAGCCCTGACAGGTGTGAGACTGTTTGGTCTCTGTCGATCAACCTGAAGCAAGGGTGCTCAGGCTTGGCTCCTTCTTAAGCAAGAGCCTTCCCTGCAGGTCAGCTGCCCCTCCTCCATGCGGCACAAGGCCTTCTCAGGAGAGTGCCCCCCCCCGCTCTACCACTTCTGCTTGTTGGGAAGACATGCAGACCCATGGCAAGCAGCCAAGAGGACGCTTGGGAGACAGACCTTCTCCCTCTGCAGCCGTGCCAGGTCCTCTCTGTGGGCCAGCGCCTGGTGCTCCAAGGCCAGCTGTGCCTCCTGCCCCTGCTGCGCCGCCTGCTGCCGCAGCTGCCCCAGATCCCACTGCAGCTGTGTCTCCCGGACTTCCCAGTCGCTTTTCAGGTGTTCCATGTCCACTGCGAAATGGCGGGCGTGTCATCCTGGTGCCCTCTGTCCTTTGAGATCACCCACTTAAGACATGGCTGCTAGCACATGGTGGGTAGGCCAGGTGGGGACGTGGATACTGGGAATGGGTACAGGGCAGGAAGCCACCATACCAACCCTGTGGCTGCACCTCAGGGCTGAGTTCAAAGTTGGCCATGGGCAGGATGGGCGGGGCACCCCCTGCACATCATTCGAGGTCACACAAACGCCAGGCCCTTGGGTCTTCCCATACAGGGTCCAGGGTGGGGGAAGCAACACCTATAGGGACTGAGTTCAGTCCAACAGTGACTTGGGGGTGGGGACAGGGAGAGTCTACCCACTGCAGCACCTTGCAAAGCCCTGTGAGCGAGCCGAGCAGCCTGGGCCTCGCCTTCTAGCTGTTTCTGCTGGGTCTGCAGCTGTGTCGCAAGCTGCTGGGCCTCAAAGAGGCCATTCTCCAGAGAGTCCCTCTCTGCCCTGTGGAGAAGCATCAGACAGCAGACACATCACCCACGTGGTCCTGAGGTGTCTCATAGTTTGAACATGTAAGAATCAATTGTGTCCTACACAGAAACACGTTTCAGGCCAGATTAAAAAAAAAAACAAATCCAGAAACAAAACAAAATAAACAAGTCACAGTAGAATAACTCAGAACTATAAAAATAGAACAAATACAGAGGATATTTTAATCTTCATAAGCCTGACACGAAAGTCAGAATTAAAAAAAAAAACAAAGAGGCCAACAGATCTGGATATACTTAAAGGAGAGAAGGATAGTTTTCGCGAGAATAAATTCGATAAATCAAGTTGGAAGGAAAGAACAGGGTAATGAAACCCATCACTTTGTCTGCTAACTTAAAAAACTTATCTTTAAAAATTAAAAAAGAAGGCGATAAAGGGCAGAATTGGAAAAAATCTGTATTTAGTATATAAACATAGGGGTAAGCATCCATCATATGTAAAGAGTTCCTGTCAATCAGCAAAATGAGAAAAAGAATAGTTACAAGAAAACATCAAATAGACAAAAGCACGTGAAATGTACTTAACCTTACCAAGAGAGATCAGGGACCAGGGAGATTCAAACAACAGCTAGGCAGTGTCATTAATCACCCAAGATTAGCAAAGGGTTAAAGGCAACCCTGCCTGGTGTTAGTGAGAGACTGGTGGGGAAGACCAAGTATGCTGACTCTGCCCTGGAAAGACCACACCCAGGTCTAGAGACCCCTCACAGCCAGAGACAGGATGCTCACCATGACCTTACACAGGGGTTAGCTGGATTTGGCTGGAATGCCAACAAATGGGAAACTGCTGTAGACATCATGGTGCACCTACTGCATGCAGCATCACGCGCTTGGCAAGGGAGGAGTCACCCACAGAGCAACCAGCAGAGCTGGAGCGCTGCAGGCAGTGTGACCCCAGTGCGGGGGAAGCAGTCCAGATGCGTTTGCAAGCAGAGGTCATCATTGAAAAGGACACACGGATCGAGGTGTGCCAATCCACAACTGCCAGGGGCTGGGGGTGGGGTAACTGACCGCCAGCACCACCAGCATGATTTGTCACTGAGCTCTGGTCACAGCATGAGCACTCCAGTTTAACGTCCATCACAATGCAGCATCAAGGTGTGCTCTCAACGGGTGAGGGAGGCCATGGCCCTTACCCACTCTAACAGTTTTGACACAGCTCCTGTGTTGTTTTGTAGAGCACCAGAAACCTGCCAGGATCTCCTGGTGATGTGTGAGGGAAAGTCTTCTGGGTCCAGGCTGCAAGCCCTATACCCCGTCCCTCTGGGTAACTACGCATTTCCCACTCCATGCGTGAATATGTCCTCTGCCGGGGTGTTCTTTGTGTATGGAGAACTTCCTTCCTCAAGCAGCCTCACATCCTGATCAGCATATGCTCCCATGGCTCAGGACCCCTCTGCTCCCGCCCACCTCCCCATTTTCTGCACCAGCTTTTATTCTGAGAAGTTGAAGATCTGAGTCCCTCTAGCTCCCCATGGCCCTAGTTTCTGGAGTTCTGGGAGGAACTCCTCCAGGAAGCCCTCCATGACCGAGTAAGCTCTAGAGAGAGAAAGCACCAACCAGCCGTGGGGCTCTGCAGAGGCTGAGGGACCACTGTTCTTGCCTTCACATTCCCACTCCAAGTTTTAGACGTTGCCCTGTGGCAGGACCATGGTTCCCTGGGAGGACCCTACTCCAGACTGCACAACTTCATGCCTCTGGATTTCAGGACTGCTAGGGAACAGCCACTGGGCAGAAGCAAGGGCCCTCTTGCTACTTCCAGGCGTCTCCCCAAGAATGAAATCTCAGAGCCACTCAGAGGAAGGAGGGAAAGGATCTCTGGGGTTGTGGAAGCTTCCAGACACAGCCAACCGGAACTCCTCATTCTTCAGGAAGAAACTGCATATCTTTTACAGGTCTGAGTTGAGTTTCTGGTCTCACAGGGTTGTCCTCTGTCTTCAGGAAGGTGACCCCAGGGCACCCCATCTAATACGGACCCGCCTCAAGGGCACAATGTCTCCTCTCTATACAGCCCTTAATACCATATGCTGGCAGCAGACACGCCCTGCCCTGAGCCACAGTGTCTATGTAGTCCCTGCATTCACAACACCATGGGCAGTCTGAAGGCAGGGTCAAGAGAGGGGTGGCCCGTAGTGGTCGCACTCGTACCTCAGACCAGCGGCCTCCTTAGTCACAAGCTCACTGTGTCTCTCCAGGGCTTCCTGCTTAGCCAGTAGCTGGGCCCGCTCCTCCGACAGCGTGTTCTTCTCGTGGAGAGCTTCTTGCAGAACGTCCATCTGGGCCTCCTGGTCCTGCAGGCTCTGTGCCAGCTGCTTCTCTAGGGCCTGTTTCTTGCATGTGGCCTAGGGGAGGAAGGAGGGACAGCGAGACACGGGAAAGAGAGTGAGCAAACTGGAAGAGGCTGCTGAGGGTGGGTGAGCATGGGAAGAAGGTGGAGGTTATGGCAGAGGAGGCGGCAGACTTAAGAAGCATCGGCACTCACGAGCCATGCATGGGCTTTCCAGCAGCGGGGATGACCACTCTGAAATCTTGGTGGACTTGTGATAGAACCGTGTGGGAGCCAACTGTCAATCTCAGTGGCAGCCTTGGCTAGACTGTGAGTACCCAGGGAGGTGGCCGTGTGGTGTGGGGGTGCACATGAGCACAGGGTAGAGGCTAGTGTTGCCACCTCAACAGAGTCTACACACGGCATTTGCTGCTTTGTAGTTTGGGCTGGGGCGATACTCAGGAATTCACAGCTACCAAGAACACCCTAAGTCTTATTTTGTTCCATCGTCCACAGAAGGCTTGACTCTAGTCATGGCCATGAGCCAACTACAGACCAGTCCTGCAGGCTGAAACTCAGGAATAACAAATTAGGAGGCAGGACCTCGCTGAGGGAATGGATCACTAGGAGCAGGCCCTTAGGAGGATCCTGTTCTGTTCTTGTCACTGTTTCCCTGCTTCCTGTTCTCTATGACAGGATTGTCAATGCCTCCTTTTCCTCTTCCACATTTTTACGCCACCACGGTAATTGTGCCTCGAAATTGGCCCAAACAAGGTGCATGGTACTTGAGGAGTTACATCTGAGGTTGTCTTCTGACCGTCACATGGATGTGCACGTATGAACGCACACACACATGCGTGTATACTTATACATAAGCATAAAACAAAGCAAAACCCCCAAAGATACCCAACAACCAGAAGGCAGGAACAAAACAAACACACAAAGGCTTGAATGATGAGTAGCAGGAGAGTCCAACTGTGCACACACAGAGGCCAGGGGCAAACCCAAGCATGGAGGACATGCCCGACTCAAATCTCTCCTATACACACTCCCCGCCCCTGCCTGGAGCCCCCACAGGGGTCGTCATGCTGCTGTTGGCTCCTCCCCTACCCCCGTGGGTCCTGGTGACTTCAATTCATGTCCTCATGTGTGTGCAGCAGGAACTTACTCCACTGAGACATCTCTCCAGCGCCCTTCGGAGAGAGGACAGATGTGTGACTGTCCGAAGCCTGGCCTCACCTGGCCCACCTGCTCCCGGAGCTGGGCACTCTCTTGCCCGAGCAGGACCACCCGTCCTTCTAGATGCTGCTGTTCTTGCTTCAGTTGCTCACAAGTCTCCTGTAGCCGCCTCCGCTGCTGCTCTGTCTGTGCCAGCTGCTCCCTGACGCTGACTCGCTCCTGCTCCAGCACCTCCAGCTGCTCCCGGAGCTGGTCCCTCTCCTGCTCCAGCTGCAGAGCGGGCGGGAAGACATTTATTCTGTGGACCACATGCCCGTAGTTCCCACAAGCCAGTCACCCATGTAGGCCTTCCATGGAGATGCTGTGGTCCCTGCTTCAGGCTCGGCCAGGACCGGCGGCCAGGCCCTGCCTCCCGCCTCTAGCACCTACTCTTGGGATGGCGGCCTCAGCCCAAGTAGGAAGGAGATCTGCGGGATGCATGATAGGACAAGCCCACAGAGAAGGCTCAGGGGCACCTTGGGGGAAAAGGAGGCCTTGGCTCTTGCCTTACCTGAAGCACCAGGTGGTTTCGGGTGTCTTTGTCCTGGGAAAGCCCTTCCACCAGGGCAGCCATCTTGGCCAGGGAGTCTCGTTGCTCTAACCCTTCTGACTTCAGCCGCGCCACCAGCAATTCCAAATCAGCATTGCCAGACTCGGCCTGTGAGGCAGAGTGGTCACCCGGAGTTGGCTCCAGGGAGAGGCTTCAGCTTCTTTCTGGCTAGAGTTGGTGACTGGTGGTGGCCCAGGGAGATTCCCTAGGAGCAGATGTGGCCAGTGGTGTTGGGAGGAGGGCAAGGTGTCAGGAGTGAGTCAGGACACAATGGTGGTGACTAGGAGCCCTGGTAGTGGCCCAGGCCGTGTGGGTAAGGACAGAGCAAGGGCTATGTGTACTGGGGCACATACTCGGGCCAGGGCACCACGCAGGCTCTCCCTTTCGGTCTCCACGATGTCCCTCTGCAGCTGTGTTGAACTTAGCGCCTCCCGGGCCGTGGCCAGCTCCTTCCTGAACCCAGAGACCTTCTCCTCCAGCTGCTCCAGGCGGCCCTGGCTGAAACCGGGAGACAGAAGTCAAAGTCAGGCGGTCTCTTCAGAGGTGCCCCCACAAAACTTATAGGCAGGGAAATTCTAACAGATCCCTCTAAGCCCAGGGAACCCCAAAGCTGCATGGTGCCCCATTGGGAGCAGCCCCTGGCTGTATGCATGGGTGGGTTACACACACAGGTGGTTTGTGTACACAGAGCCAGGCACTGGGCCGGTACAGGTGTGGAAATAAGGGTTGTGTGGTACCCTGCTCAGGAGGAAGCGCCCGCTCCCTGTCTCTGACGCACTGATGGTGTCTCAGCTGTGGTTTCACAGGCTACGGGACCCTGCTGGCCTGCAGCCCCTCCACAACCCACCTGGCCTCCATCTCACGCAGGCTCCGCTCACTCTGCTGGGCCAGCTCAGCTTTCTGCTCTGCCTGCAGCAGGAGACTTCTCCGAAGTTCTGCATTTGTGACTTCCAGCTTCTGTGTCTCCGCATCCCGAATGTCTGCCCTCGCTCTTAGCTCCTTCATTGTGGTCTCCAGAGCTACTTTCTCCCTGGGAGAGGGAGCAGAGGGAGACGCAGCCTCAAGCCATGCTTCAGGGGAGGAGTGCCTGAGACCATCATGACTTATGTACTGGGGGGGGAGGGGGTATGGGTCAGTAGAACAGGAGGATGTGTCAGTAGGGGTGGGATGGGTGCAGCTCCTCAGGGGCCTCAAAGGCAGATGGGGGTCAGAGAGGCACAGGAAGAGGAGTTGACACTGTGACCCAAAGCCTCAGGCCCTCACTGGCTGGTCGAGATGAGGGGGCCACTGTCTGACTTGACCAGCCTTCCCCTTGCAGGGGCTCAGGGCCCAGCCCTCTGCCACGCAGACCAAACCTGGGTGTCTGTCACAGACCTCCCTACGCCACACAGGTAATGTCCACCCCATCTTGGCAAACCTCCACCAAAGACGGGACACCTCCCTGGCCATTGTCTACCTGAGCTGTCCCTCAACCCTCACACTCTGTGGCCACGGGGCTCTGGTACTTCTCCCGTGTCTCCTGCCCTGCGCACAGCCATGCCTGGTCATGTAGCCAGTTCTCTGAATTTTTAGCCATGCTCCTCTCACCCTGTCCTCTGAATGTCAGATCCCATTTCCTGAAGGTCTTTTGGATCCGACACTGCATGGGCTCACTGTGTCCCAATGAAACCCTCCCAGCATTCCCCCTGTCGCTTCCGCTCTGCTCCTGTACCCCACAGATGCCCCATCCCGTGTGGCCTCCTGTGCCCTCTGTTTTGGGGGATGTGCGTAGACCTCCTTCTGTTGACACGGCCCTGCCTACCCAAGGCTCCCCAAGACTCTCACACAGCGCTGCCTCCCTCTGGGAAAGCCTCCCTGCACTCCCCGAGCTTATTGCTGCTGCCTTTGGATTTCCGCCCCTGTGCAAGGCTGTCCTGATCTGTCCCCCCCTGCGGCCCCCACCCCTGCTCTGTGTCATTCCAATATGTGTAGGCTTCTTGGAGGAGCTGTGAATGATGTGTGGCCTGTCCCCAAACCATGGTAAAGGGGACATGGCTGTCTCTGCTCCCTGGGGCTGTACACTTCCTTCAGGAAGATTTCCAGATTCATGGCTGACACCTGGCTCTTACACAGCCTGCATCCAGTAGATTCCAGAGATTCCCTGTACACTCTGTGGCCCTGATTCTTTCCAGCCCAGGCCAAAGAGTCACCTGTAGAAAGTATCCAGGATTCTGTTGTAGCTACAAAAGAGCCATGGAGCACACAGGCTATGTGGGGAGTGGGGTTCTTCGGTCACGGTGAAGGGTCAAGTAGGGAAAGGTCACCTAGAAGGGAGCCTGGAGCAGGGCTGGTAGGAGAGCAGAGCCTGGATGAGCTTCTGGAGACAGGCTATGGGTCCAGTCCTGCAGAGAGCTTAGGGCATGTGCAAATGGTGCCTTTGCTTTTTAGGGGAGGGAAACCCAGGTCAGGTACCCTATAGGGGGCACAGAAAAGGGAGGGGAGGGAGTCAATCCAGGCAAAGGGGGTGTGGAGTGAGGGGCAGCCTGGCCACCCGAGGTCTTATCTGGAGATGTGGCCTTTCCTGCTCCTCCTATGAGGCTTACAGTGGGCAGCTGCTCAGTGCCACCTGGTCCTGCCCTGCCCACCTTTCCAGGAGATGGATGGATGCCTGGCAGTGCTGTGTCTCCTGCCTTTGGGCCTCCAGCTGGCCCAGGAGATCCACATGCTCCTGTGCCCTGTCCTGCAGAAGCCTTTGTGAGGTCCGCAGCTCCTGCCGGTACCCAGACAGCTGCTCCCGGAGCCCGGCTGCTTCCTCTTGGGAGGACTCTAGCCTCAGACACAGCTCCTGCCGGGGTAGTGGAACCCACAGTGAGCATCAGCAGCCATCCAGAGCACCCCAATTCCCCCAGAAAGGAAACTCTGACACCTGAAGCCCCTTTCCAGGCTGTGGAGCTCAGGGGCAGACTCCATGGAGACTTGGCCACCAACCCCTCTCCCCTGCCCCCTACTCCAGGGCAGTCCCCTGCCTGCCAGGGCAGGCTGTGGAAAGTTCCATAAAGGCATCCCAGCTGGGCAAGATCTGTGGCTCTGGTGGCCCTGTGGGCTATGGCCACACACCTGCTCCCTCTGCTGCCGCCTCTCAATGGCTGCCTGCACGGCCTGCAGGGCAGGGTCCAGGCTGGCTGGAGAGCTGGTCCGTGTTGGGGACACATGCCGGTGGGGTGAGACAGCACGTGGGGGGCTCCTCAGTCGGCCCTGTACCTCCCTGACCTCACTGCTGCTGCCCCAGGTCAGATCCAGAGCTGCATCTGACTGGGCCACCTCCAGGCCACAGGGGTAGAAGAAGAAGAGAGAGTGTAGGGTCACCATTACACAGGCCCTTCTGTTGAGGATCAGCTAGAACCAGTATCCCCCCCCCCATCATCTGCATCCAAGAAAAACATTGAACAAAAAACAAAACAATGAAAACCATACCTCCTTGATGCTGGCCAGGACATGATGCAGGACGTCAATCTCATCCCTCAGTTCATCTGCCACCATCTGGCCCCCACTGCGCCTCGATTTCTGTGAACAGAGAGCCCTGAGCCAGGCAAACGCGCACCCATGGGAAAGCACCCTAGTTCCCACCCCACAAACCAGTCTCTGGATGTCCGCCTTGAGGGCCAGGATGCATCTCTCTCCTTCTTCCTTTTGCTCAGAGAGCTTCTCTACTAGCAGTGTCTGCTCTGAAAGTCTGAAGAGAGACCAGGGTGACGATGAGGGGCCCTGCGGGTGCTGTGGGTCCCTCCGGACTCCTCCCTGTCGTGCCAAGACGATACCCCAGTCCATGACCTGAATGCGTGCTTTCCCTGCTATAGAACTCTGATAACTCCCGCTATCTTGGGAATAAAACAACAATTCTCCAAGCTCAGCTGTCGTGGTTCATGCTCTCCAATGCAGATCTGCAGCCCCACATCAGAATTCTGGGTGCGGTCACCCAGAAAACTGCAACTGCTCCCTCCATCTCAAGTCCTTCCCTCTTGGGTGTGCCTGCACTAGCCGGCCAGAGCCAAGGCCCACCTGGCTTGTAGTGCGACCTTCTCAGCAGCCCAGAGGCCCTGCAGCTGCAGCATCTCCCTGGCCTGCTCCCTCAGCCGCTGCTCCAGGTCACCGGTCACCCTGCTGGCTGTCAGCCGCAGGTGGGAATCGAGGCTCAGGCAGGCCACACGCACGCGCTGGGCCGTCCGGGCCATGTCGGCCTGAACATCAGCGAGACCCCTGGAATACAAGAGCTGAGCATCATGACCCTGCTGCGACTTTGGGGCCCAGGATGGGACCTCAGAGGGAGCGGCAGATCCCATGAACACTGACCATTTTTAGGAGAAGCCCTACTATAAGCTATGAATTGACTTCTATTTCATAGAATGGCGTGGTGAGAGCCAAGGAAGAGAGAGTGGGGATGGGACTGACCAGAAATGACAACTCTGAGTAAGACACTGGCTTCTGGGCCTTATTTCCTCCTGTGTAAATGGGGATGCAATTACATTGGGGGCCACTGGGCATGACTAGGACAGATCCCCATGAAGTGTCCAGAAAGGATTAGGTGGATTCCCAAAAGTCTGTGAAAAACAGTGTCCACGCCCTCACACACATGCCAAGACCCTGCCCTCCTTCCACCCCCTCCCCACCCCCCCCCCCCCGCTCCCCCCTGCTCCCCAGCTGCCCACCTTCCCAGTGCCAGGGCCAGCATAATTGCAGCCCAGAAGGAACCTTGTCCTACCACTCAGGTGCCACAAGGTGGGCACTTCTGTTTACCTCTCAGTGGATACCCGAAGCTCAGCCAGCTGTGTCTGCAGAGCCTTGGCCTGTCTCCACAGGGGGGAGGATGTCCCCAGGCTCTCTCAGGCCTGACCTTTGGGTCTGATAACAAGAGGTTTTGTTTATTTAGGCCATGTCCCCTCCGCCTCCCACGACTCCACCAAGGACTGGAAGGGCAACCTGTGTCACCTGTTAGGTATCCGGGCCTCATATCCGTCCCATGGGCTTCCCAGTCCTACATGGGAGACACTGCCCTGCCCTCCAAGAGAGGACTGTTCCCAGATCCTACCAGGGAGGACAGCAGGGATGACAGCAGGGAGCATTGTCCCGCAGGAAGCAGGGCTGCTGAGAATCGGGTCTCTCAGAACAGAAAGGCTCCCCAAGGAACTGGTGCTGCCCTCTGAAGGAGGCTCCTCCTCCTCAGTCCCCTCAGTGCCATGGGAGGTCTAACGCCAGGGGGCTCTACAAGATGTTCAGGACCCCCAGTGTGGTGTAGCCAGTAGCAACAGAGTTATCAGAGAAGCCAGGCCGGGGAAGGGGCTGGTGGTGATAAGGTGACACCGCCAATCATGGCATGTGCCCAGCCTTCAGGGAACAAGGTGCTACCTTTCTATCATCATGCCCCGCTGTGCCCTGTATGCTAGGGACCCACAGGGCTGCATGTACCAATTGCTGCCCGCTAGCTCCTTGCTGGTCCCTGAGTGGTTTAGCTCCACCCAAGGCTCTCAGCGTGGTTTTCAGATGGACACACTCGCCTTATGCCTGTCTAAAAGCCACACCTCTTCCTGTATGAGGCCATTCCTGACCCTTCGGCAGACCCTGTGTCTGAGACTTTGTGGGTCCTGAACCCAGAACCACGTTTTTGTACACCTTGGGATATAGCAGGGGACACTCGATTGTTCTCTGTCACATCCCAGGGGTGAGACAGCTTGGCTCCTGTCTCATGGGAGCATGAAGTTCTAGACCTCCTCCTCTTCTTGACAAGGCTGAGTGGGCTAGCACAGGGAGAGCCTGCAGCCAGGACCTGTGCAGGCGAGGAATCCAGCTCCATGCAACATCTTCCTAAAACGAGTGACTTGTGCATCAGTTTCTTTCCTCTGGGGAGCTGAGCCACGCCCAAAGTGGGGGGTCTTCCTAAACATGGTGGATATCCCAAGCTGCACCCAACACATTAAAGGTGAGTGGACCAGAGAGTGAACAAGAATACCTCTGACACGCCACAAGCACGTGCTCATAGTTTCATCCTGCTCTCATATACCAAGACTCACACAGAGCCGCAGACGTGCAGATTCACATGCACACATCCAGACCCACACAAACACCACACTCCAGCACACTATGCTCACACAGCTCACACACACTCACACTGTCACTCACCACAATGGACTCCCACATGCACACATACCACACATACACAATACACTTACATCTTCACAGATACAACCTTACACATACCACACACCGCACACACAGGCTGACACACCATTTACATCATATGTACAGGCTTGTACCATGCACACACACACACACACACACACACACACACACACACACACACACACACACACAGTCTTGCAGAGAAACTGCCTGTCTAGAATGTTAGAGCTGAACAAGAGAAACAGCTCTTCCCTGTGCCAGGGACCACGATGAAACGTCATGCAGTCTAAACGCACACAGCCTGGGCTTTCACAAACACAGAAGCTGAAAAGCCACGGCAGTACGGCTCAAAGACTGCTGGACCCTCTAGGCACTCACCAAAAGCAGCTGAAGATACTTTAAGGAAGAAGCCAGCATTCACCCCAGTTTCAAAGAATTTTCACAAAGTTCCACGGAAAATAAGCAGGCCCCCACTCAAGAATAAAAGATCCAGTGACACAAGGAGACAATACAGGACGATTAGGAGCCGGCAGCAACAGCCGGACAGCAGGCGGTAGGACATCAGACACCTAGCTGCTTGGGTTGCACACCAACCAGGGATGTGGACATTTGGGAAAGACTCCATCCATTCCCCTAAAGAGGAAAAGCCTGATATTTGTTATTTAAGTCAAGGAGTCAGAGTCCAAGGCGATTAGATGTCAGAAGGAACCGTGGTGAGCAAGATCACGCATCTGAGGAAATTAGCCTGGCTCAGGGTAAGAGAGGGGAAGTAACCCAGAACGGTTCTGAGCACTAGAGGTGGTGTAGGACTGCACAGACACCTCGTTGGCATGGGAGGAGGGAGGGATGAGCATAGGTAACACTGACAACACTAACGGTCCTTCCAGCCACGAGGAAGGCTAGGCGCTGGAGAAGCCTTCAGCCGGGCAAACAGGAAGAACCCACACCGGGCTGTGTCATGGGAAGCTGCAGCTGAAGCCAAAACGAGGTGGGAGAAGTCTCCAGAGCAAGGAGGACCAACAGCCTCGTGTGGAGTTAGGGTCAGGGAGACCACGGCCTTGTTGGCAGCAGCAAAGAGCCTGGAGGCAGAGCCCTTCACAGGCCTGAGAGGAAGGACCTGACCCAGAGTGAGCAAAGACAAGGTGACTTAGTGCATTGTTTGGAGGAAGCCACTCAGGTGGGGGTCACATCCAGATGCATAATGTAGACAGGGCAACGCTGTCATCTGCTTCAGCAAGCCTGTGCCCAGATCTCCTGGGATGACAAACCGGCTCTCTGGTGACACTCTAGTGAAGTGCATTCTCTTCACACCTCAGCTGGCACCCATACCCTCCTTTCTCCCGCAGAAGTGGTGACAACAGGGGTGACCACTGTAGCTGCTGCCAGGAATGACAGGTGTGGGGCAGGGGGCAGAGGGCAGGGGCAGGGGGCAGGGGGTAGGGGCAGGGGCAGGGGGAAGGAGGCAGGGGGCAGGGGGGTGGGGGCAGGGAGTGGTCAGTGGGGGGTGGGGAGTGGGAGGCAGGGGGCAGGAGGCAGGGGGCAGAGGCAGAGGGCAGGGGCAGGGGGCAGGAGGCAGGGGCAGGGGCAGGAGGCAGGGGGCAGGGGCAGGGGGCAGGGGGCAGGAGGCAGGGGGCAGGGGCAGGGGGCAGGGGCAGGGGGCAGGGGCAGGTGGCCTCTGTGGTTGCCTTTCCTGGCCTCTGAGGGAAGGGCACTGATGTCCTTTCTGAGATGGATTTGTTTGAATGAGACATATGTGGTCCCAGGCCCAGGGGCCTCCCTCAGCTCCCGCCTCCGTACAGAGAGACCATATTCTTCAACGACTTCAGAAGGGAAATCTTGCCACTGGAATGTGCTGGACCCTTGGATGTGCATTCAGACCCCTTTGGGGCAGGGTTGCCAAGGGACTACGTTAGCTTCAGTTGTATAGTGTCCCCTCTCCAAGGCCACACCCTTCTCAGGAGGTCCCACATCCTTTGACAGATCAGCAGGCCAGACCCAGACACTTCCCAAGGCCTGTGACATTACTCCCTGATGCTACACTTGAGTGGGCAAGACTGTGGGTCTCTGGTGGTCTCCGGTCGGGAGCTTAAGAACAGCTGTTCAACCCAAGTTTTTTGAGTAACCACTCTGTGTGGCCAACAGTGTCACAAGAACCATCCGGTCTTGTTCTCCTTTCCCTCACAACACAGACTGCTGTGACCAAGCGAAACGGATGGCGAGGCCCCCACCAGGAGAGCTCGCATGGAGCCAACATCTCCCTTCCTGCCCACCTGCCACTATGGGCTGCAGGCACCAGACGGGCAGAAGCAGGGGCCTCTCTTGTGGACCAGCGACATACCTCCCGCAGCTCCCGCTCGCCCCGCAGGCGGAGCAAGCTGTGTGTTGTCCTGGACAGCTCCCTGGCCAGTGTGTCGTTGGCCTTCCGCATGTGCTCCAGCTGTCCTCGCAGGAGGGTGTTTACTTGGGAAAGGCCCACGCTCCTAGATGGACAAAACCCACAGCTTCATGTGTGGTGACTTCCTACAGAAGCACACTGACTTGGAGGGCCTAAACCAAGGGTTTAAGTGGTGCCCTGGGGACTCCTGAACTCTGCTCAGGTGCCTGGCTCCCCGCTGGGCTCCCAAGCAGCAGGGCCACCAGCAATGAGCCCCACTGGAGCCAGCAATCAGAAGGACTCTCTCCAGGACCAGCTCAACATCGTCTCTGCCCCAAGCTCTCTCTCACCCCTAGCCTCCCCTCTGCCTGTAAGAAAGTTACAGGGTAAGGAGGCTCAAAGGTAGCCTTTGGGGGGCAGGCTGGCAGGAGTTGGGCACCCCTGGGAGATGCTAGCCCTGTTGCCCCATCTTCGGGCATCAGGCTTTCCTGGGGCTTTTCTTCCTCCTCAAAATGGGCTTTCAAAATGCTCTTCAGCATTTTCTTCCTTCACCAGATTCCTGGAGGGTAAGCCGACCACAGGATGTCGGTGATGGGGAGATGGGCTCAAGTGCGGCTCTAGGGTGGTTTCTGGGACTGGGGTGTGGTACAATTTTGCCAAGAATGAACAAAAGGGCCTGTTGACATCAGAGAGGTTCGAAGCCAAAAGTTCTGAAGTTGCGGTTGGGGTGGTAAGGGAGCTAGAGAAAGGCACCCAGGGCTGTGCGTGCCAGCGGCTCATGAGTGACCGTGGCAACCCACCAACAGCGACAGCCAGGCCTCCCGGCATCACACTTGGGATGGGGTCAGGGAGCCCTTGGCAACGGCTGCGCCTCGGGAGGCTGCCCACAGGCCCAAACCTTTTCGGGAGGGGGAGTGAGCAGATTCCCCCTCAGATGACATGGATGCTGCCATATCCAGGGTATGGGAATGTACACTGAGGAGTGTGGGCAGAGGACAAGGCCATCTCCGTTGCCAGCTGTCACCTGTCGGTGGCCTCTCCTAGGACTCCTGACCCCAACTCTGGGATATGATGACTTCCAGCCTCTTTGGTGTCTTTGCTTCCTGTACTCAGGGGGTGAAGATATCACTACTGAGGAGACCAGGAGGAGCCTCACTCACCCAGCAGTGAGAGAGCTCTCAGCTCTGTATTGTCTGTCCCTTGGCCCGTGACACAGGGAAGGGGGAGGGAATCTGTTTCCCACTCTGCAGACTGCTTTTCTCTCCCATCTCACGGTCTCTGGCCCCAAGGGACGAGAAACTGTATGTGAGGATATGGGAGTGGTCTCCAGTGGGAATCGACGGAGAGAGGCCTGGTACCTAGCTCTGTTTGCTACTGGCCCTTTCTTCCCAGGATCCTTCCCCTGCGCCAATTTTTACAGACAATGTTAACCCAGAATAGCTTTGATGGGTTGACCAATGGCTGCAGGGCGTGGCAGGGTCTGCCCCCTCTAGGATGATGACTGCACTCCTGCAACCCCGATAGCCTGTCTGTTGGGTCTCACCTCTGCTGTGAGACCTCCAGCCGGCTAAGAGCCTCCTCCAAGTCCATGCTATGCTCCAGCTCTGACTTCCGAAGCCGGGCCTCAGTGGTGTCCAGGCGGGCCTGCAACTAGGAAGGAGTGTGAGCCCATCTGGTCCACCTCTGTCTAGTCATCCAGATGGGACATCTTTGACATAAAGCCCACTCTGGGCAGAGGCAGGATACAGGGCCTCTCAGGGACCTGCTCATACCCTGCCTCTCTTGTCCAGTCCAGAGCAGGGGGAAGAGAAGCTGACTGAATGATGCTTGGATCCTAGCAGGCCTGGGGATACTATGGGAGTGGTGAAACTAGCAGGGGGCGGAACTCTGGGGAGTTCCTGGAGACGCTTCACCCCTGGAGGCTGCAGCAGACAGAGGCAGCTGAAAAGCAGGCTCTGCCATGCTACCATGGGGCATGAATCTGTCCCCTTCTGGCCCGACCTATTTCCCAAGTTAGTTGCACCTCCCCTCTCAACTCCCATCCTTAGCAGGTGGGAACTGACTTGCACGGTGCCAAATCCCCTTGCTATGAACCCAGAGCGCCATCCCAAGGGGCTAGGAAAGGAGTCTGGGAACAATGTGGGTGTCAGGGGGGCACACCCAAGCCTACCACCCAGAGCCACTCAGCCACTACTGCAGTGGGAATCTGAACCCACAGCCGAGGAAACCACGGGGTCAGGGAGGTTCCCGGAGGAAGGCACACAGAGCAGGGGGATGGGCACGGGACACAGGAGTGGCCGATGGCCAAGGGCCTGTTTCTCAGCCACCAGCAGTGTGACAGTTGGGATCAGAGGACTCCAATGACAAAGGATTGTAGCGTCATCTGGGGAGGACATGCTGGACACCCTTCACCCGGTTCCACCTGTGTGCTGGGAGGAGTTTGGGGCAGGGTCTCCCGGCACCCCCATCTATCTGGCTGTGAGCTGAGCTCTGACTCATGGCTTACTAGTTCACTAGTCTTTGGAAGGACATCTGCAACGTCTATTCCCTGAAGTCCATTCCCAGCATCTCCCGCCCTGTGCTAGGAAGATCTCTACCCCCAGAATGCACCAGGGAAGAGGCTCACAGGAAGAGAAGCTTCATGGAGCTCCTGAGCCAGACCGAGATAAAGGAGTCCTCACGGTCTTTCTTAGATGGACTCTGGGGCGCTACAGTAAACAGCGTCTCCCATATGGGGTAGCTTGGTAGAAAGGGCATCAGAGAGCTGGGACCCGTTGGCAGGTGGGCGCTTTGGGCCTAATGTGGTTTACTAGGAGGCATGGCCAAGCACGGGCAAGCAGGGGCAGGCCTGCGGTTTTTCTCAGGTTTCTGATTACACATCCTAGGAAGAGCAGCCCCGGGCCAGGCCTGGGTCTGGGCATGGTTGTACAGCCTTAGGGCCGTGGTTCTCAACCTTCCTAAAGCCGCCGCCCTTTAATTCAGTTCCTCATGTTGTGCTGGCCCCAATCATACACTATTTGGTATTGGTATTTCATACCTGTAATTTTGTTACTGTTATGAATCATAATGTGAATATATGATATCCAGTGTCTCTGATCTGTGACCCCCAAGAGGGTCACAAGGCCCATGGCATTAGAGGAACACTGACCAGAGCTGAGGCTTAGGCTCCTCATCTGTCCTGCCATACAGAGCTCAGGCTGGGTCCACAGATGGCCTGGCGGTAGACGCTGCGGGGTCAGAGCCACTATGCGGGCTGCTCTCCCTCATTCTGTACCTAGCCTGACCAGGTCTGCTTCTGACGCTCACGACTTGGAGAGGATGATGCATGAAAAGGACTCCTGCCTGGAAAATGCCTTCACTTTGCTGCCTGAGTTTCTCTATCTTCATGGAAAAAGCACTCCCTAGTCCACAGAGATCACCCCCCCAAAAAAAACCCTCTGGCTGAAGTCTGTATCTCAGAGGTCACCTCGCCTCTCCCGTTCTGAGGTCTGGCAGTAAGTAGGTGCATAGGAGAAAGGATCGGGGTCTGGAGTGAGGTGTTTATCCACAGGCTGTGCCTGGGGTCTGGGCAGTCCTCCCTGGCTTTATCCTCTGTTCAGAAGCTAGCTTTGTGATTATGACTGACAAGGACCATCAGGTCATCACTGACCATCTGGGAGCAGATGAGAGACATACATCTGAAGGAGACATCTCCTGCTTCACATCTTACGTCTAGCCTTGATGTCTCCATGGGTTCCCCAGTGTCCCATGACTTGGCTGATGGCCCTGCGATTGTGATCGCCAGTCCTCGGAGGTGGTCCCTAATAAGGGCAAGGCTGTGAGCGCTGGCCTGCAGGTACCAGCGGCACACTCACCCTCTGGCTGACCATGTGACACTTCTTAACCAGCTCCTCCCGCTCAGCATCTGCCTGAGCCAACAGGTCCTCCAAACGGGCCAGCTCTTCTTGCAGGAGTTCACTCTCCTCCTGTGCCTGGGTTGTAGTAGCTGGCAGCTCTGGCAGTCCTGTGGTGAGCAGAGCATCCAGATCAGGCCAGGGCCCTCCCCAAACATCGTACTGCTAGCCCTGCAGCAACAGGAGAGGGCTTCCATGAGGAACGTCACTTCCTCTCCCGTTACTGAGCGCCTTCCTACCCTTGCTGCCTTTCGTAAACCTCGTTAAACCTCATAGACCCATGGCCAAGCCTCTACAATTAAAGCATGTGTGGGGGTTCACTGGGTACCACCAGCCATATCTGGGCCCTGAGCAGTCATGGGGCTGCAGCTTTGGGGTAGCAGGATCCTGCCCACAGTAAGGATGCTCTCCCAAATATTCAGTGGTGTTTCTCTGTCTTTTCCAGGCACCCAGCATTAGCCTGGGGCCGCCAGAAGATTAGACATCAAGACCCCTGCAGAAGGGGAGTCATGAGCTCAACTGGGGGTCAGGGAGTCTGACTCCTATTTGGTTTCCATGTAGGGATGGATTCCATGGAGCCTGCAGTGCGATAATAAGAACGTGCTGAGCATGGGGTTGGGTGAAGAGCAAAGAAACTTCATGATGTCTGTGCTTAACCTAAACTGGAAGTGCCAACCTTTAGGGTTTTCATGCTGATGAAAAAAAGAAGAAGATGGATAAAATCAAGACACAATGGCATAATGGTGTCACAACACAGAGGTCAGCTCTACAGGTCATTGATAACAGTCTCATAGCTATCTGCATGACTCCTGGGGACCTGATGAGGAGAGTATGATTGAGAAAAATGGGGCTAGGAGGGTCTGGGATGGGCAGCAAGAGTCACAAACACCCCTAATGGTGTGGCTCCCTGAGGGCAGACCCAAGTGTGCTGCCCTAAACCCCCCCCACCTGAGCAGCGTTAGCACCCTCACCTGAGAGCGGCTCCTCCGCCAGGCTGCCCGACACGATCTCTCGGATACGGGCTGGCACAGGGGTTGGTAAGGCCAGCTGGCCTTCTCCACGCACAGTCAGTGCCCGGTCCTCCCTGCTGGCCATGGGGCTCAGGATGGTGTCTTCCAACTTCTGAAAAACACCCCGGAACACTGGTTCTTTCAGGCCCTGGACAATCTGCAGGCACCTCCCACAAGCCACTAGTGTCAAAGGGAGCCACCACGTGGTCACTTCAATGTGGCCAAGAGTCCTGGAGATAGCAAAGTGGGGCCAGGCTGGTCACTCAGGCCACATGCCTCAAGTCTCCCCACCTGTGGGGTAGGGTTGTGCCAGTCACAGGCCGTGCTTTCGCAGAAATGAGGAGATCAAGAAAATGGCAATTTGAGAGGATTCCTAGCCGAGGTCAGCACACTCACCTTAGGCCCCTTCTGACGCTAAGCAGGCTGGGCTAAGTCCCGGGCCGACTCAAACTACAAGGCGGACACTTTCTCCAGTAACTCAATAGAAAGCATGAGGCTTGTGGTTGACTGACCACGAGTGTGTGGCGCCCTTTTCCATCTGTCTAAGCAGCTTGCTGGTCTCTCTTTTCAGGTTAGACTGTGTCCAGCACTCCGGTGCTGCGATATCAGAGACAACAAGAAGCTCATTCCGAATGGTTTCCTCGTCCATGCTGTGTGTGGTCTTTATCAGGAGTAACATGGGCTGGGCTGGTTGAATGAGTTATAGACAAGACCCCAAGCGTCTAAGTCTTAGCAAAAGTAGAAGCAGCTGCATTAGGGTACCAGGAGCCAAGAGCCTGGCACCTGAAGCTATGAGCTATTATAGAACGCCGGGCAGAAACTGTGAGAAATTAAGGCGACAAGGATGGTAAAACTCCGTGAAGAGCCGAAGGGCAGAGCCTAGACATGGGGACTGCAAGGCCCTGAAGAATTTGGGAGAGTTACTGAGGGTTCTAGAGGCAAGGCCCAGACAGGAGCTCTGAGCCCAGAGCAGTCAATCTCGTTCTCAAGCACCTACAGCTGTAATAGAGCTTCTAACTGTGACAGCTTGCAGCCATAAGCCTCTTGGTCCCAAGGCTTAGTGCCATGGGCCTCTGGCTTTGGACGTTCAGGTTGTAAACCTCTGAAACTCAAGGTCACCAACAACACAGGAACAGCTCTTGCCTACCCAGAATTCCTACCTAGAGAAGGTCTTTGGGCTCTTAGATTCTCAGTCACAAGTTATTGAGTGGGGGCACGTGTTTGGGGGAAGGAATGGGCTTGGGACTGATAGGTAGTCAGGTCCTGTAGGCAGACTGGTTCTGTGTCGGCTGGAAACTTCCAGATGTAGGACAGGCAGACAGTGTGATTAAGGAGAGGCCCCCCTCCCGCCCTGTGCATGAAGGATGTTGGAATGAAAGGCAGTGGGCAATGGCCGGTGACTGATGCCAGAGTCCCAGAGCTTCCCAGGGCAGCAGCCACCGCTCTGACTGTTCTCCTCCTCAGTGGGACTCCCCCAGATCCCTCTTCCGGCCTAGAGTCCCTTCAGGTGACACTCTGCAGCCTCCTGACTTCCATTTTCCAGCGCTCACTGATGGCATTGTCTAGTCTGGGTCCTCCTGGTTCTGACTTTCGCTGGTGGGGAGGCCCAGTTTCTCCAAGCACCCACCCTCCCTACCCATATCACCTCTCGCCTGTAGCCAGACCTCTTTCTACTCTGAATCCTGAGTGCCCCTGTGGAGATAAACCACGGCTTTCCCTAGTCCTCCCAAATATATTGATGCACCCCCTTTATTTCTGAAACAGGGTTTCTCTGTGTAGTCCTGACTGTTCTGGAACTCACTCTGTAGACCAAGCTGGCCTTAATTACAGAGATCTGCCTGTCTCTGCCTCCTCCTGAGTGCTGGGATTAAAACCCCTTGCGGCTGTCCAGCTGATTCCTCTCTTAGGCTAACCAGATTGGAGTCACCCCAATACCCAGGTTCTCCACAGCCCTGCACAGGGCCTGTCCTGGTCCACCAGGAACCCTGAAATGGTGAGAGGCTGCAAATGAGTGACCTCAGGCCGGGTTCATCTGCCCCTTCAGGCTGGGCAAAGACTTACTGCCCTAAGGTTTTGCACTTCCTCCCCTAGGTGGTCTTGGGAAGGTGCCCCCTTCACTTTCCTCCAGAGGACCTCCCAGTCTTGCTCTGAGTGGGAGGTAAACAGTCTTCCTTGGGTGCAGCAGCTCCACTGGCGAGGAGCAGAACTCTGCTTGCTCCTACCTCCCAAGACCACCAAGGCCTCTCTCTCTCCTGCTTTCCTAAGAGTTACAGTTGGAAGTGCCCAGCCACGGCTGCCCAGTTTTGCACAGGGGGATCCTAAGGCCTGGTGGGGGTAGCAAACATCACCCCAGGCCCCCAGATTAAAGATGTGATGCTGGCTCTATTCAGAGGTTCCCTCCAGGCCGGAAGGACCCTGCCTCCCTCCCTCCTCTCCCCGGAGCATCAGCGGCGCCACCCGCTAACGGGAAAGCAGCGGCGCAGCACAAACTTGACTCATTCCTAACGTTTACAGAGGGTCACTTATTAGCCGGGACGTCCCGAGAGGCGCTGGGGGCGTAATAGGTTCCAGCTGTGGCCGGGTGCCTGCGATGGGTCGACGCCCAGCCAGAGCAGGAGGGGTGCGGAGGGGGAGCGGGAGGGGCGCGTCCCTGGCAGCCCGCCCTCCCCTCCTGCCTCCGGTCCCCAGAGCGCGGGAGGATTGCAAGCGAGGGCCGCCCCGCCTCCACGCCAATAGCGCGGGGGAGGGGCGCGGGGCTCTGATACTTCGTGCACGGAGGTCTGTGCTGACCCGGGCTTGGATCCCCTGGGCTCTTACCCGGGACCGCCCCCTTTCCCATCTCCAAATCTGGCCCGTCGTGAGGAGTGGGGCTAGGATTGTTTACAGCATATGCCCCACAGGCTTTGTCCATGTTGCCATCAGTGGCCCCCCAGCCCCGGTGGGCCAGGATTTTCCTATGCAGTCTGGTTCTGGGGAAGCTTATAGCGGGCTAATGGGGGGGGGCTGCATAGCCTCTTGGTGGGGGAGCCTCAGATTGTGGGAAGGACACCAAGGTTTGGCAAAGGGGACTTCCATTTCCTAAAAGACCTCAGACTGAGATGAGCGGGCCATGTTTGTTCCTATTGCTCTCAGTGTGTTCCTCAGCCCAACCTATGCCAAAGACCCCAGGGAGGCTAGAGACTCATTGGGGACAAACGCCATCGCCTCCGGTTCTTCTGGGGTTGTGTGGAGGGAGTCCCATCTAGTGGACTGGCCATCCTGGGTTCCAGAACCCCAGGGGTTGTTGTTGAGTGAAGGATGGGGTTCAGGGCTGGAAAGGAGAGAGGCTGAGCAGGAGGAAGACCTGGCATAGATTTTCTGCACCCTGATAATAGGTAGAACCCTGCCCACCGCCCCGGCCGGCCCCATGGGAATGGAAACTGCTCTGACCCTGTTAACTGGCCTCCCTATCCTCCTGTGCCTAGGAACCTCACTCTGCCTGGAGACGGACTGGAATGGGGAGTTCTGGGGTGGGGTATGTATCCTCCCCCTTTCTGGATCTTGACTCAAAGGTTGAGGGGGCAGCAGTTGTGGATGGGGAGGTTGTGGTCAGGGCCAGGGCTGCAGTCCTCGGTGTGGGGCCATACCCAGGAAAGGAGCCTATCACCAGGATGGACTCCAGCTTGGGGCCCTGTCCTATTCTCCAACCCTGCCCCCGCAGGCATGACCTTTCTACACGTGCTCCTTCCGGATTCGGGACGGTGGTCACCCTGAAGGGAAATTCAGGCAGCATCCAAGTGCAACCCACGGGTAAGGAGGGGCAGGGGTGGGGGACAGAGCCCAGGCTCTGAGGGGCGTGGCCTGGTCACCTCCAGGCTGCTCTCTAGGTTGGGTAAGAGGAAGAGTCAAGTGTGTCCCCTGCAGGGGCTTCTTGAGCAGGGTTTGGGTGGCCTCTCGCTGCTGCTTCAAACAGTGGGACAGGCACCCCAAGTGGTCCCAGAGGGTAGCCCAACACTCTCCTTCCAGGCTGCAGGTAGAGGAGAAAACAAAACAAGACAAAGCAAAACAAAAACAAGTAAAACCCACTAAGCTCTCTAGGGGTGTAACTGAGGAGGTGGCTTCCATTTTCCCAGCCTAACCAGAACCAAGCAGGGACTGCAAAGGCATGAGTGTGAATCTCCCACTGTCCCCCAGTGTCCCCTGCGTGGACTCCCTGAGGTCCCCTTGGTGCCAGCAGCACTGGCCCACTCCCTGAAGACCTGCAGGGTCTTCCTGTGGCCGGGACGTGTGACACAGAGGCAGGAAGCAGACATGGCAAAGCTCGCGAGCTGACTCACGGCCTCGTGTTCATGACCACAGCCACAGACAGGTGCACAGTCTAGGTGCTGGCCCTCAGCGGAGAGCAGAATGGATTAAAAAGGGACTTGGCTGCTTCAGGTGTGGAGAAAGGCAGGACTCAGCCATATATTTCAAATAAAGAACTCAGCTGAAAGCTGGGCCTGGTCTCCAAACCCCCATTTAAAGTCTCCGGGAAGATATTCAACAGACAAGGCCAGTGTAACTTGATACTATCTCAGACCCTAACCTAGGCAGCCGGCAAGACAGGGCTGGGTGACAGAGAGCTCAGTGCAGTGCAGGGGTGGCTAGGCCTGCCGCTAACGTCTGGATGCTGAGCTCCAACAGTGCCCCCGTGTGGCCACAGTCAGTACTGCAGAAGGACTGCAGGGCCAGCCCAACTTCTGGAACTGAGACTAGGCTAGGGGTGGGGGTGGGATGGGGATGTGGGGCGGGGGCTACAACATGATGGACAGTAAGAGAGTGTGTGACGTGTGTGAATGCAGTGTGAGTGGCTGAAGTTTCTTAGCACTGTCCACTGTCCAGGAGCAGCTGTTCTAAAATCAGTTACCATGACTTGGAAACTCTGCCCTTCTCCCTCTGTGGGAGAGCCTGGGCTGGGGCAAGTTTAGGACCACTGAGAGAGTCTGTGTTAGGACTGAGGCTCAACCCTAGGTCCCCAAACACTTGTGGGGCTAGTTTTCTGGATATCCAGGTCTCTGGACAAGCCCCTGCCTTATATGCACCTGGTGGACGTCCACGGACCCTTCTACATCCCCTTGGTGAACTGGCCTGGCC